TTCTACTTAATTATTCGACCAAATTAAGGTAAAAAAAATGTTAATCAATTTTACCAATTTTCTGCTTAATTAATTTACTTAATATACCTTTACAATTAACAATTTTGGTTGACTTGCTTTGTGTTTAAATTAAATACATGTCGAACTTAAATTAAAAATTTGATTTAATTAATGGCGTGTGAATAGTATATTATGTATCTAGTTTGATAAATTCCATTTTAATCACGAATTTTAATTAGGCACGAGCGAGCTTGCGAGCGAGATTTCAATTAAATGTGTGCCTAGAAAAGTTTATAAACGAGTGTCATACTATACTTTTTCTACGACAAATATTAAATACTAACTGAAAATGATTTAAATTAAATATTTGTATAGAGCGACATATATAAAAAATAATGTAACTTGCGTATGACTAACTTGGAAATTTATATTACCGGCACGCGTCGATCAAAATGTCAAATTTTTATGCGTATATCGAAATTTATCCCTTGAAAGACTAACAACCGTTTAAATTTGATATAGAAGCAGATTTTCACAGTAAAAGTGAAGAGAATGTTTTATGGGCATTTAACGGTGAAGTCTCCACCCGAAATTTTTAATTCCATATTAGTTAAATCTAGTTTTTTATTTTTGTATTAAGATAATAACAGATTTTTAAATACAATATGAACCTCATAAAAACAATTTTTTCTACTCCCACCTTTAAAACGCCCTTTATCGTACATGTTTTCAAGACACTAAGTGACCTTTTAAATACACATTGACAAGTTGTGGCTTTATGGCGCTTTAGTCACGGGCTGAAGTTAGCAACAGGTTTTTAGTCACGGGCTGAAGTTAGATTTAAGTTAGTTGACAGTTGTCAAATGTCATACAATCGTTACTCAATGTAAAAATTACTTTATTATCTAAATACAAAAATACAAAAGTATTAAATAGTTTCTTAACGTCAGTATTTAAAAAGTTTATATAAACATTGTACTGACCTTTTAATTTCGCCGGCAGTAAACTATAACTTAAATTCGGGCACGGACTCCACTGTAAAGTGCTCATAAAACATTTTCTTTACTTTCACTGAAAAAATTTGACATTTGACGGTGACACACAGATTCCCCTATGTTTCATAGATGGCGCTCTATACAAATTTTTGATTTAAATTATTTTAAGATAATAATAAGTATTTGTCATAGAAAAAGTATAGTATGCAACTCGTTTATAAACTTTTCTATACACTCATTAATTTAAATTAAATTCGTGTATAAAATGGCGTTTTTATGTAAACTTTTCTGTGTTAATGGTATGTTGTTGTTTTGCCAACAAATCTTAACCATGCTTCGTGCATACGACCGTAAGTTATATTTAATTAAAAAGCTTTAATTTTGTCTTTTAACAAGGCTGATATTTATGTTTAACATTCTTAATAGTTTTTGCATATTTGTCCACCTCTTTGACATATTGTCTAATAATACGTTTTGTATTGAAGAATAACAAGTACGTTGTAAGTCATTTAGAAACCACGTAGTTGTCCTTACCCCATTTACGTACAACTTGAGTCCGATAAAATAAAATATTGAATAATTGCAAGCCGTATTTTTTATTTTAAGCTAATAACCTTCCGTATATGAATCTTATGGAATTTAATAATTAAAGATCGCAATCTCTGTGAACATTCGTAAGATTTCTTAGATATTTATTAAAATGTCCACAAAGTAGGCATAATTTTATGCGATACAATTTATAATTATCAGATCTTTGTGGTAATTTGAAAATAATTACCCACTATCCTTTTGGCATTTTTATTGTCTTTACATCCCACATAAAATTTTAATGCCGTCATATTCCAACGAATACATTCTTATTTTTTTATTAGCAAGCGCGTCTAATGTTTTCTTTAAAACTTTTAATTACTTTATATGATATAATACTTGTGTAATTTTAAATTGAAAATGAAACTTATTTATATCGTAAAAAATATGTTGTTAAAGTTTTTATTTGCGTTAATAATTACACTGATACATATCAAATGTGGCCTCCAGAAGCCAAGGGACAAAATTGACAATTAATAAAAAGGAAGTTAGGTACAGAAATATATATTAAAAGAAACATTTATTTGCTAGCCAACTTTGAACTCAAAAAAACTTACTTCTTGACCTAATAACATAATAATTATTATTAAGGCCCCTAGAAGCATCATAAAGCAACAACCAATTTTGACTTTAAATTATAAGAGGATTTTAATCAAAACTAAACAAAATTTATGTTAATGGCACGTTGTGCCTGAACGAAGTCACATAAAAATGCCGCCAAAAACTGATTGCAGTTTCTTGTTCGGGACCCTTTGTTGACTTAAAAATGATTGATTTACCAAAATCCTAGCTGCTCCTCTTTTCGAAATTTTTTGAAAATTATTGATTTTTTTTAAATTTTTGGTTTATCTTAAAGTCTACCTTTGACAGAGTACACATTTGTACACCGATTTGTATAATATTGGAGTATATTGTTAAGGAGATTTGAAAAATACTTTTTTATACTGTGTACATCATGTAAAATATACAGGGTTAGCCAAAAATCGCTTCTTTTAATAAAGCAAAAGCGTAACTTCATGATTTTGGCAAAAAAGATATACGGGCGTTTCTCTGTAAACTGGGCAACTTGAAGTAAGAAATTGTCTAGGCAAGTTTTTTTGTTATATTTTTGTTGTATTTAATAAATGTTATTCGAGGAATAAATATCGGTCTATTTATTAGTAAACGGCAGATGAACCAAAAATATTCCTATTACTTTGGAAAACATTGAGCATTTTCTGAAAAATCTATACAGGGGACTGTTTATAAAATCCGGAGACAAAGTTTAGATGACTTTTTTAGAATTACAAAATAATAATTATAAAAAATAAATAAGTCACAGTAACAAGCAAACAATATTGGTTGAATAATTAAACAATTAGGTTGATTCCAATAGTTACTGTCTTTAATTAATTTAGTCTGAAGTGACCATTTTGCTTTGGTGACACGTCAGGGGACTGGTTTTTAAGGACTATAAAAACGATTTTGATACATTAAAGTTTATTTTATTGGATTTTGAACGTCGAGCATAGGTAGATTAGGTTATTATCTTTTAAAGTTATCTACGAAATATTTATGATCTGTTATTTTTCTAAACAATATTAGCTTGAGACAATGAGTTGCCCAGTTTACAGAGAAACGCCCATACCCATGTTTTTTTTAGATATTTTTATGTTTATCAGACTACAAAATGGGATTCTTATTAGGACTTTATAGGAAAAATTGATTTTGAATAAAATTAAATAAAATAAAATTTTTTGGAGATAAATCTTTTTTGTGCATTATGCTTTTTACTATATAAAAAAGTGATTTTTGGATAACCCTGTATAAATCTAATGATGTGCTCAGTATGAAAACAATATTCTCCAAGTCTCGTTAACAATATACCCCAATATTATAAAAATCGGTGTACAAATGTGTACTCTGTCAAAGGTAAGATAAACAAAAATTTAAAAAAAAAAATAGGAATTTTCAAAAAATTTCGAAAAGAGGAGCAGCTAGGATTTTGGTATATCATTACCAAAGGGTCCCGAACAAGAAACTGCAATCAATAAAAATGGGTGTACAAATGTGTACTCTGGCAAAGGTAGACTTTGCGATAAACAAATAATTAAAAAAAATGTATATTTTTTTACAAATTTAAAGAAAAGCAGTTAGAAATTTGATAAATATCGTTTTTAAATCTTCAGAGTGCCGATCAAAAATCTTTAACCAGTTTTTCGTTCAAAATTGAAAACTACTAAAAAGCCTAAATTAAACAACATTTTAAATATTATCTAAGCGTTATTTTATTTAATTTTATTAAAAATCTATTTTTTTATAAAAGGTTAATAAGAATGCCATTTTGTGACCTGATAAACGTAGAAATATCTAAAAAAAAATGGGGATAAATCTTTTTTGCGTGTTATGCCAAAATCATGAATTTACGCTTTTGCTTTATTAAAAATAAGCGATTTTTGGCGCACCCTGAAAATATCAAATGATGTGAACAGTATTCAAAAGTATTCTTTAAGTCTACTGAATAATATACTTTAATTTTATAAAAATCGGTGTACAAATGTGTACTCTGTCAAAGGTAGACTTTGAAATAAACAAAAATTAAAAAAAACATGAATTTTCAAAAAATTTTGAAAAGAGGAGCAGCTAGGATTTTGGTACATATCATTTTTAAGTCACCAAAGGGTCCCGAACAAGAAACTGCAATTAGTTTTTGGCGGCATTTTTAAGTGACTTAAACTTCGTTCAGGCACACCGTGTTGGGTCAAGCTTCTAAGTAAGTCTTTTTGAGTTTAGAGTTGTACAATTGAGCGAAGCATTACCGAAAGGTTATATAAATCTGACAGAATTCGAAATATTTACTCCCTAGGCTGTAAAAAACCTTACCCGTTTAGTCTAAATTATTGTTAAGTCCCCAATCAATCACTTTAGTAACGAGTGTTGACAACAATATCGTTTAAATTATAGACCGATTAAAGATAAATAACCTGTTTAACCATGTTTCGATTTTGGATCCTTTTAAATACCAAAAAAATGGTAGTAAAAATAAGGCACCAATTGACATGTAGGTAATTAAAAAATAATTTATTTATTAAAAATCAAATGGGGCAATTTGTTAACATTTAAGCGTTTCCATCTTGATTAACATTTAATTTAATTTATATCTACCAATTTTCGAATATTTAGAACAAAAAATAGTAAAATGTCACTGATGTTTTAATGTCCTTCAGAAAGCTATTTTGCATACAGTGATTTATGTAAATGGATAAAATCATTGTATCTATAAAAATAAAAGATTTTCTTAAAAAAAATATTAAAATTACTGTAAAGTAGTTTTCTGCTAATTATAATTCTATAGACGGCTTATTACATAAAAAATCTTGTTTACATTTTGCTGGCCTCTTTGATTTGATTTAAAGTAACAACCACTGGCAAACTCACCAATAATGATAAAATATCCAAAAATTAATATCACAGTTTGCACAATGTAATTCATATTTGTTTAGAAAGTTTTGTTTTTATCGAGAAAAAAGATGAATGTGACACTGTGTTCACTACTGGTACGCTGCTAGTTAAAAGACATCTCGCGTACGACTGTTGTTCATTTTCTTCTGGGCACTGCCGCCAAGAGAGCGCACCACCTTCCAGTACTGCAAGGTTTCTTTCTTTGGTACCGCAACAGCGCACTTTTTATATCTCTAACATGGTATTTTCTTACAATTTGTTTAAAATTCAATTTTTAAACCCTTATAACTCAAAAATGACTCTATAGAGCCTTTTTTGAAAAGCCCTGTATGCTAAACGGGTTTTATAAATTTATTCGAAATATTTTTTGGTGGGATATCGTTTCTTATGCTTATGTTTAATTATTGGAATGATTTAGCATATCAGTGGATTTAGGTTTTTGCACGACATGGCAACTCAGTTATTTTAAAAACTGTTATTTTATAAAATAAATTGGGTTTCCTTTAAAACGTTTTTATTACCCCTAAAAAGATAATTTCTAAACATTGATATTTTAAATTAAAACAGTTCATCAAGATATACCTATTTGACATTTGTCACAATTAAAGAAATTAAATCCGCTAATAAAGTCTTGGTTTACTAGATTTGTTACTTAGCCAATAAAATCATCTAAAATGTAAATCGTTAACGACTGGCTTAAAATATGGATAAAAATACAGTATTTTTGTTTGTTAATAAATCTGAAAAAATTAATCCAGAAGGTAAACATACCTATAACAAATATATAATTAAAGAATAACATTTTTTGAAACATAAAATTACTACATAGTATGTTTTATATTTGCTGTTTTTTGCATGTTTGAAAACCTAAATGCTTGAAATCATTTAGTTCCATTGTAAAAGAATTACCCCTAACATTGTACTTATTATATATTTATTAATACATTTTATTATTATTAGAAACATATCTCCATACCTTCCATTAATGTACTTTTTAATATATTATAGTATTAATATATTATAGTATTAATGTACTTTTTAATATATTATAGCATACCTAGAAATAAAATAAAAAAATATTATTATGATGATAAGCATATTGTTAATATTTTTTAAATAAATTTATAACTTAATAAATAATAAATTAAATTTATAAATAAAAATAAATACCTAACTGGGCAAAAAATATAAAATAAAAATTGTTTAAAAAATATTTGTCGTAACTTAATTAATGTTTTCCAAGCACAAACACTTAAATAAAATTTTCACCAATTTCAACAATTTTTTTTGGTTATTTTCAGAGGCCTTAGAACGTAATTTTGTTTAATTTCGTTTCTCATAGCTTCTAATATAAATTTACTTATTACAAAACACATTGAAAACTGCAAACATAACCCAATTGTAAACAAATCAGTTTGTCACAATGCTCTTTTCGAACCTAGTTTTTGTCAATAATAAGGATTTTTCAGTAATAAATTAATATGAGTGTCATTATCAAAATTCATGTACATTTAAAGAAGAAAAAAACAAAAACATAATCTACAAACCTGTTTTTTCCAAATTTTGTTTATTTATGGGTGTTATTTAACACGTAAAAGTGGGCAGTTGAATTTTTTTACATAAGCCCTTATAAAATAAAAAAGAAAAAAATGCTTAATCATTTTGAAAATATATTTTTTTGCTTGTTAAATATCCTTTTATTTACACTAGGATTTGTTTAAAAAAAGAACATAAATTTTTTATTTATAAAAAACTAGGTAAAAGCAAAAACTATGTTCTATTTCTCAACTTTCTTATATACATAAGTATTTTTAATATATTTTCTATATTTAGAAAAGGTGAAAGGTCGAAAAAAAATTGTTCTTTTTCCTTTAATTTATTATTATTTTAAAAATATAGTATAATTCATTTCTTTGGAATTGTCCCTTGAGTAACATAACTTTCCCCTGGGTCACACAATATGTGATCCAGGAGACGTGTGACCTAGGGGAAAAATGTACGTTTTTAGAACATAACCTCTTTACTGTTTCAAAAATAAAAATTTGTAATTTGGCCCTTGAAACGATTCTTTTGAGATTCAAAGCCCAAATGGTAACTTTTTATTACTGTGACACAGGAGAATGCACAGTTTTGCCACGCTGGTATAAAAAATACAAAAAAACGTGTTGTGGCTTCAAGATAGTTTAAAACGCCAATTTCTACTAAATTCCGTTACCAAATACATTTCCGCAAAAGCTTTGACCCAGGAGACGTGACCTAGGGGACCAAAATTAAGGGACAAACTTTAGGGTTTATTTAAACCACTTGTATTTTTAAATACTACCACAAATAGGCCTTTTCTGTAATATTTGGAGTATATTCTCAACTAGAGTTGACTAGACGTTAGACGTAGTCGGATACTTTGGCTCCCGATGCCATGGCAACGGGTCGGTGCGCGCGGATATTGTTTTGTAATTTTATTGAGGTTAAAGACGTCGTATTTTTAGGTTATAGACATAATTTTATTTAGCCTGTTTGCATTATAATTATTATAATATTTAAAATTTAAATGTATGTCCGTGCGTAGAAAAAGTATTAAAGATGAAATGATGTGAAGCTATAGGAGGAAAAAGTAAATAATAGTTATAAGCGAATTTTACAAACGAAATTGTTTATAAAGAAGCTAAAGATGATGAAAATTTGATTATTTAATGTACCTATAAGAAGTGATTTAATATACTAAGCTAATGGTTGGATTCCTGGTATAGAGATATATGTACCTACCTGTATTTCTCAATAATATCCATCGATTGGCCCCTTTATAAGGGAATAGAGGAATTTATATCGACTAGGAAGTTATACTGAAAGTGGTCCACTTTAAAACTTGTATCTGTGTCAGTAAGAGAACAGACTCTCTTGAGAAAGAGTCAAAGAAGATGATTTTTATTGAAGCCTTATCAAGTAAAGGAATTTTATAGTATTTTTATTAACATTTAATTATATTTTAATTTTTTTTCAGCTGAACTAAGAATGAATTTATGTGAATTGTAAAAAAACATTTACAAAATTAAAAAATTTACGACAACAAACAGTTAAATTTCATTCTGGTAAAGAGATGGAAATAGCTCTGTATAAGATTTTAAATTAAAAATGTTCAAACTGTAATAGATAGTTTTATATTGAGTCACATAATAGTAGAATGCATATTGGTTCTTTAGCACTAGAATATGAGAGATGTATTCGTTACATAATGAACATTTCACTTTATTTAAGCACATATAAATTAAAAATTAAATTAAATTATACTTTTAACTTAAGGCAACCTAAATAAATAAAGTCCATTTTTTAAAAACTTTGTTTTATTGGCTTTTGAAACAAGTGTTAGAGAAAATAAAAAAAAACAAATTTTACAATGTAATATGTAATTGTCGGCTTCACAAGCAATCCAAGTAATTCCATTTTTTGCCCAACAACGCTAAAACCGCTGATTATGTCAGATGTAATGTAAATACATCTGACATAATATGTCAGATGTAATAATATGTCAGATAAAATATGAAATAAAATTGACTTTAAATTCTTACTTACCTATATATTTTTTTCAAATTTAAATTAAAGTCAACTTCAGCCCGTGGGCGAAATGCTATTTTGCCCACCGGTTAAAGTGAAATGAAATGGGAGTCAAAAAAATATTTTTGTCTCCTCTATTATAATAATAACTGATTTGGAAGTTACGTGGATTGCTGGTGAAGCCGACGATATTAAAATATAAAAGATATAAAGATATATGTATGTATTGCAATTAAATGTTCTTATTTAAAACTAAAGATAAGGCAATGTTTACAGATTCCTCTGTATCAGGCTTCGTTATGCGATTTTTATCTCTTTTTTTTATTTTTCTTGATTTCTTGTTAATGAACCGCATTTGCGGATTGATTTTTTTATTGTTTGATTCAGAATTTTTTTCTATAAATTGATGATCTTTGTTTTGAATTAAACGAATTGCATTCAATTTTGGTTTCACGGAACTAATCGAGTCTTTTATTAAATCTAGTTCTTCTTGTGTCTCTATGCTGTTAAGTAGTTGGTTTAAGTCTTGAATTAAATTATCTTTTTGTTTTTTGATGGAAATTTCGCAGGATTTCTTTTTTGTCAAATGTGAAACCAGCTTTCGGGATTGTTCCATTTCTTCCGCATTTTGGGGTATAACAATTTCCAAATTTCCTGAACTTTCGTCTCTGTCATCAACGCCGTCGTTATCCATAACATGACATACACTTTGGTGATTCTCTTTAAGAAATCGGCATACTAAATGAATGTGTTTACATAGGTTCCATTTAATAGAATTATCTAAGCAGGAACAGACATAACGGTGTATACAACAACTGCAATCTGTGCAAACAATTTTACAAGAGCATTGATTATCTTTTAGTTCGACAAAATATTGTTCCATAGACGTTCTTGAGGAATTTACGTACCAACCATGACCATTTTCGCTTTGGACAACGTCCTTTGTAACAAGGGTTAAACTTTGAAGATGTCTTTTACGCAGATCTCTTATTTTACTGGTTACCTTTCCCTTATGCAACATAATTAGTCTATCAAAGAACTTATCTTTAATAAACTTCATTAAAACATGAATACATTTATCTAGTCTCTTAATATGTCTCCCTTGTAAATAAATGTATTTTATCGTTTTGTGCATACGTTCTATATGCATGTTCGTATTGAGTCCACAATGAACCCTAAAACAATAAGCCCAATTTTCAATATTTTTCAAATAGTTATCCCTAAAATAACAACCAAAATCATGGCTATCGGGATCATTTAACAATTTTCTTAAACCTTCTTCAAGTAAAGTTCTAAACGTTTCGTGGTTCGTCTCCTGCAACAGTGTCCTAAGTAGATGGTATACTTCTATCTGTTTTTCCTTTGACTTGACTTTTGACAACTGCTTCCTCCAAGCACGATCTACGTGCCACGTACAAAATAATCGTTTTTCAGGAACGCCCATAGACAGTACCCAGGCATTGAAAAACGATTCGGCCATATCCGTCATAAATACTTTTGGGCTTAAGGTACCGGTAGTCTTTTTAATGGTTGAAAAAAATATATTTAAAGCGGTTTTGTCTGAACGATTTGTTATAAGAAATGAACAGGGTAACCCTTGTCTCATATCATCTATTACCATTATAGTTATCAGTTCAAAACCGTATGCATTTAGACCATGTGTTCCGTCCATGCAAATGCAATCACTTGAAAATTTCTTTAACATTTCACATTGAAGCTCGTTCATAATTATTAACATGAAATCCTCAGATCTTAATTCAGGAAAATCTTCAGATAATGTATCTTGAGCCTTATAAAATAGAACTTGGTCTTGCATTTCCGTAACTAACATATCTATACTAACTGCATCATTTTTGTGACGACTAACATGTCCATTTAAATTATAAGCCCTTTCAATATTTCTTAGGTCTTGTTTTGTAACTAAATGTATTCGTTTCAATTCTTCATCAGAAATTGAATCGCGAATCTAAAATAAAATACATACATTTAGAAAATATATACATTTGTAGCTATTAAGAACACATTGAATCTAAATAAAACATAAAAAAAACAATTTTTATCTTTAAGTACAAGCAAAGGCATAGATTTGTCTTTATTTTAATTTTGGAGAAAAAAAATTAAAATATTAGTAGGTAAATACAAACAACAGTGACAGGGTGCTGGGAAGAACAAAAAGTTTTCCTACCATTACCCAACAACTCATTGGTGCTCAGTGATTCCTTAGCACCCCCTGAGACAAGAAAACTTTATTTGTTAATTGTAACTGTTCATTTGGGAGAGAATTTGTTTGATCGCTTGTTTCTGGAAAGGAAGCCCTACAAGAAAATACATTTTGGATCATTTAAAAAAATTGTTTTTAGTAAACCTCCAAATCACTCCTAAAAAATAAACAGTTACGATTTAGGGATGAAGTTTTTGAGTCTTAGGGGGGTGCTAGGGAATCACCAAGCACCAATAAGTAGTAGAGGCATATTTAAAAAAGCCACCTGCTAAGTAAAACAAATTAAATCAATTAACCTCGTCAAGAATATCCTCAATTGGTATTTTGGTGGCTATTTTAGCTGCCAGTGCCTCTCGGTCAGATTTAGTTAATGTTAAATGAGATAACTCGTATTCATGGCCTAAATGAGTTTTTACAAATCTAACTTTGTATTTTTCTTCATTATATACCGTTACATAAATACTTGATGGGCAATAACTATTAATCTTCTTCGTGCCTTGAATTTTAATTGACCTTAAGCCTTTTCCATTTGGATTAAAATAACCAGAACGGTGACAATAAAAAGCTATTTTTTCGGAACCGTCAGCGGTTCGTTTATTACCAGTTTTCTTTATATAATGTGTAGAAGAATCTGTTTCCAAAGTACTTTTCCATGTAGAAAACTCTCCAAAAGAAGAGAATTGTAAGTTTTCCACTGTTAAGTGCAGGTTATGAGAATTATTGATATGTGCTTCAAAGCATTTTCTAGATATGTCTTCGTTGCATAATGGACATTTCAATTTATATGGTACTGAGGTACCAATATGCATTCTACTATTATGCGACTTAAGATTTTTTTCAGTAGAAAACTGTCTATTACAGTTTGAACATTTATAATTTAAGTTCTTATACAGAGCCATTTCCTTCTCTCTATTAGGATGAAACTTAACTGAATGTCTTCGTAAATTTTTTAATTTTGTAAATGTTTTTCCACAATCTGCACATAAATTCATTTTTATTTCAGCTAGAAAAAAAAATAAAAATATAGTTATGTACATGTTAATAAAAATAATACTTATAAAATACCTTTACTTTCGGATAATATTTAAATAAAAATCACAAAATTAAAATAATGCAAACAACTAAATAATTTTATGATTGCCTAACCCACAATCCAATTTGGATTATCCAAACAACATAGGTTATGTAATTGTATTCAGATTCAAGGAGAAGAAGAAGAAGAACGCATCGGGAGCTAAGTATCCGACTACGTCTAACGTCTAGTCTAGAGTTGGGGATGGTCAATTGACCGCGGTCAATTGACTGTCAATTGGCCGCTACCCATTTGACCGGTCAATTGACCGGTCAAAATACATATATTTAATTTTTGCAGCATTTTATTTAGGTATCAACAATTACCCGCGATTCTCAAAATTTTTGCGATAGTGCAATATCGACATCATTTACAATTTGGTGGTTCCCCGAGTCGAGGGGTTGCTAGGCCGGACTCGGCGCTTTGCCCTTAAAGCGGGACATATCTTTTTTAATAGCGAAACATAACTTTTTAAAGCCGCACATAACTTATATAATAAAAAAAAAATTGGTAACGTATTTTAATTACCTATTTATTAAGCACAAATAAATCACAGTAATATTTATTTTGATATTTTATTTAATTTTATTTTGGTCAATTGACTGGTCAATTGACCAAAAACAATTTGACCGGTCAATTCCACAACCCTATTCTCAACTATATAAAAAAGGAGAATGTTAATTTACTCTAAAATGTTTAAATAGCATTAAGTAGTGAATATTATTGCAAGTGGGACAGCTACTTTTCTGTATTGTTTTTTTATAGGGTTAAATTTAAAATTTTACAATTTTGCTAATATATAGTTGCTAAAAACACTTAAACCAATTGATTTCTCTTAGTAAAGTTTCAAATGGTGTTAAACTTAATTTTTTATAAAATATTAAAGTTGAGGGACAGCAAATGTACAAGAAATTTGAAAATACCCATGTATATTAATAATAAATTTTAACAATGTATTTATAACTTTTATAATAGAATAACCACATATGCATACTTAACATACTTAAGTATGTAAGATAACCTACAAAACTACAAAACATTTAAAGTTTGCGATGTTGCCAAATTGGTTTTAACTTAAATCAGTGGATATGCTTAAATCAGTTGATATAAATTAATCAACGTTTCTGCATACGGCCCTATCTGTTTAAATTAAGAACAGATTTTTAAGTTTAAAAAAGGGCACAAACTATTTGCTTTTAAAAAATATCTCAAAATTCGTCCCATACCAACTTTTTCCCTAAGGTATTTAATATATAAATTTTATTTAAAAATTGCATTCTAATCATTTGATTTGTTTACTTTTTAGGAGCATGTAATCTAGGTAATTTATTTAAATACAAAACACAAATACAATTAATATAATAATTATTATTACAATTATTGTAATTGAAATCATTTCTAGTTAAATACCATTTTCGTTTAAAATTATGGCAATAAATAATAATTCTGTTTGCCCAAAACTAACAGCGAATATTTGCCGTTCCGATATTTCACGTTTAAAATTAAAATGTAAACATAATTTTAGATTGTTCGCAGTTTACAAGACAGCTTTTATTAATGTGAAATATTATTTCGTTGCAGAAACTTACGGATTTGAAAAAGGGAAACACCGAAGTAGCCGAGAAGCAGATTCGCTCGTATTTTGCCAATTTGCACGGCGAATTGTATTGCGTGGAAAAAAAGCTGATAGACGAGGCTGTAGCAGCAAAAAACGATGTCGGAGGTTTGGAAGACTTCTCCAGAAAAATCAGGATGTCAATGCAGAAATTGGAACGCGTTTTGAGCATTATGGACGCGAAACATTTGAATCAACATGTTCTAATGGACGCTCTCAAGGACGTGGACACAATTCCGAGGTTTTTGCTGTCAGAAAGTGGAGATTTTGACACGATAAAGTAAGCATTTTTGTATAGTTTATCCTAAAAATAAACTGATTCCATGGGAGTATTTAAAAAAAATTAAAATTGCATAGAAAGCAATAAACCAATCAGAACACAGAATTCTCCACAGCGAATTTTAAGAAAAACACCCTGGGTGTATTTAAATTATTCTGCATGCAAATAATTTATGTAAGTAGGAAAAACAATAAAATGTTCGAAGAAAGATATAAATACAATTAATTTTTATTTTAATTTATGCTACTGTGCCATTTTGTCCTGTCATTTTTTAAATTTATGCTACTGCGAATGTATCCCACTGTTAAATTAAATTTATTCAAATGTTCAAATTTGTCCTACCATTTTTAAACTTATGCTATTGTGCGAATTTTTTCTGCTATTTTTTAATTTTAAAGCACTGTGCAAATTTGTCCTGACAATTTGTAAATGTATGCATGTAAGGGCAGTTTTTAACTATCAAATCAATTTTAATCACTTTCAATAAATTACTTTAATAATGACACCTATACGAATCCATGCGCTTCTGGTATTTAAAACTGTTTAAAACTTATTTTCGATAATAATTTGGGATGGGATTTTAGTTATTTTACCTTTTTTCAACCGATGTAACTATTTAAAAACCAATAATGCCAAAATGTGTTTTAAAAGATTTTCTTTTATATGAACCTAACTTGTTTTCATCTTTTTTTTACCTTTTTTGGAGGTTTTTGCTTTAAACTACCTTTTTATACTTTTGTTACATATTTTTTAATTTGTCAGTTTATTTTCACCTATTTGTTACCTATTTTTACGTATTTTTACTTATTTTATGTTATTGTGTTTCTTTTAAACTTTGCGCCAATATTTTATCCAGGGCGTGCAACTCAACGGTATAGAATTTTTTCCTATGGTCACAGACTGTAACAGTAACTTTCTTTACAGTTACCTTCTTTGTAGTGAGCTTATATTCTGTCATAGAACACAGTTTTTAAACAAAATTATAAACGAAACTTGAAATGTTAATGTTTTTTTTTTACCTAAAATGCTTTTTTAGTACCTTTTTAGTTACCTATTTTTCAGTTTTTAGTACCTAAATATCCCATCTTTAATAATAATTTATTAATGACAAAAAACACAAAATATTTACACAGAGGGATAAAAAAGTTACAATAAGTAAATAAATATATAAAGTATAAATAAATAAATAGATATAAAATAAATAAAATAAAACAGTACAAAACATCGTACATTTAAACACCTTGGAAATTAAATATTTCTTTTTCTACTCCCACCTTTAAAACGCCCATTATCGTACATGTCTTGATGATACAAATACACATTAACACGGGCTGAGGTTAATTTTAAGTTAGTTGACAGTTGTCAAATATCATACAATTGTTAAAATAAAGTGCCTTTCTTGTAAAATAATACTAAATGTGATAATTATTTTTTCTACGACCACTATGTAAAAGTCACTTTTCATGATGGCATCGTTGCTTAGAAAATGAATCTTTTCATTGGCAAGGCAAAACACGAATGTAAAGTGACATTTCTGTGTGAAAAGTGACAAGTCTGTGTGAAAAGAACCGGAAAGCATCGTTTGACATTCAGCTGTCAAAAAAGTTTTTAGGATATTTTGTTTTGTATTTAAAAATAATAAAAAATAAAAGGGTCGCAGAAAAAACATTCTGTTATACTTGTTAGAAAAGCTTTCTTCAAGCTCGTGTTAATGCACACTCGGCCTAACGGCCTCGTGGGCAACTTAAAAACTCGCATGAAAAAGTCGCTTTTCAACACTTGTAAAACAAATAACTATTATTATTTCAATACAAAAATACAAAAGTATTAAAAAGTTTCTTGACGCCAATATTTAAAAAGATTATATGAACGTTTGCTTTTGATTTCGCCTTGGTAGTGTAGTTAACTAGATTTAACTGGTAGAGCGTTAAAAATTTTGCGTATAGTGCCCATAAAACATTCTCTTCTCTTTTACTGCTTCTATATCGATTGTTAGTCTATTTTCAACGGAGACATTTTGATTTACACAGCATAATTTAAAATTTTAACGCCGGTAGATTCCCAACTTATAAATTCTAACGGGAATTCCAATAAATACAACTGTCACGTTTTGTACCTTTAACATTTCCCGTGTAAGAATTTTTAACACTTTTTGATAATAATTTGCAATTATAGTAATAAAAAAATCAAAGTATAAAATATTTTAAAGTTATTTTAATATTTTAGTCTCAATAATAGTTAAGTTTAATTAAAATAATAACGAGCAATGTTATAACACCCTTATAAGGGTGAAAATTACGTCAAAAATGTTTATTGGGATGGTTACTTTATTTTCGTATAGATTTCGTTTTATATAAATATGTAATTTAAGTTGATACATAATACACTATACCTATTGAGTATGAGTATGAGGATAAGAGACGTATAACCAGCCTCATTGCCTCATCGCTCCCGGGACCCGCATAGGCCTCTGTTTCCTTGCGCCGATTTTCTTTCGCCACCAGCAACGGCGCGGCTTCACCCGTGTTTGCTGGTTGCGAATGTCCATTGCGTCCCGTACTGCCCCTTAATTAGGGCTCGAGAGCGAAATGCCAATAGTTTAGTAGCCATTCCCGGGTTCGCCGAGCCGATGCTGTACGTCCAGTAGGGTAATGAAGGAGGTAGGACGGGAGGGATACACAGTTTGGTGTTTGGGGGACAATTACGCCGACTTAAATCTAAGTACGACGCCGAACCCCCCTAGACCAGGCAGTTAGTATTACTCCAAACATTTGGGATTACTGTATGGAGTTCGGGAGTTGATATTTTGCTGCAGGAGTCTACGTCTTGGTCTACGTTTTTGTCTTTATTGTTCATGTCCAAGTAGGATTGTTCCTGCACATGTGTCTTCAGTCTTGAGGCCGAAAACCATCAATAGATATTTCAGTAGCTGGATATGTAACTTGTAGCTTTTGATGTTTTTTTAATTGATTATTGCCGCAGTAGTGCGAAATTTCTGTTATAATCTAATGTGTTTACAAATCCAATAGAGTTTGATTATTATGCTGTTTTTACTATGTTAGGGTTATAATGATTTATTGAGTGTTAATTTATTCTTTGTGTCAAATGTTTATTATTGGTCTCGTTTGGGTTTCATGCGTTACGCATTTGGTTGACTGATTTGTTGTCCTACACATCTTTGGTATATCACCGCGATAGTTCGATTGGGCACTTTTGATTTTTTATTTGTCTTTTTACTTTGTTATTTTATGGTGTTTGGTTAGTATTGTCTTTCTAATGTTTCTATTGTTACTGATGTTTATTGTTTTTTTTTCTAGAGTTTAAGCAGCGCGCCTTTCTTAGGGTTTTAAAGATATCTGTCATGTTTAATTTGCAAATTATGTGTTAGGTCATGCATATGTTTAAGGATACTTATCAATTTTTTGCGGATGACCACTTCCCCTCTTGTTTGTCTAGTGAAAAGCGTCCAATGACAGGTATACCACCTATAGGACGAGAAGCTGAAACTTGTCACTTAACTCTTTCATATCACTTAACACTTCACTCTTTATTGACCGTTACACTATTTTAGTTTGCACTTTATGAAAATTGTTTGTTTCACTATAATTGGTTTGCACTTTTAAAAAATGTGTGGGTTTTAAACTTTAAACTTTTACGTTTTAAGAGCTCTCGCTGCACTACGCGTCATGCCTTGTCAAGAGCTGGAACCTGACTGATAATACACTATTATACCTATTTTAAATAAAATCTAAAGTTCTAATTTTAGGAGATATACAGAAAAATTGTGGTATTTAGTACCAGTTTGAGTCCTGCTTAGTCCATTAACACCTTATTTAATGTCAGACCAGTTTTTAGTCCTGTGCTCATGTATCATTTCATGCGTGAAGTATCTATGTTGGTACGTTTTTCTTATGTATAAAAAACATTTAAATATACAGGGTTATGTAATTATTGTAATGTATTAAAATACTGAATACCTTTTGACAGGTGTAACGGACAATTTAAAAAATACGCCACTGGTTACACACTTGTGTTCTGTGAGTACATAGATACCAACCAACAAAGTAGCTGCGCGTTTCCAATTGTACAAAATTGTTACTAAAAATTTTTCTTGCAAAAAATAAAGAAAAACTCAATAAATACAAAAGTTTTATGCCCTTAAAGCTCCAATACCCTTCTGTATTTATTTACTTATCCAGCTATTAGCTTAAGCAATGATTAGAAAATTTAGTACCTATTTTAAAAACTTAGAAAAAAACATCCTTTTTTTAACACCCTGTAGTATAATGCTATGTGCACAATATCGTATTTCCAAAATTAGACATAGGAGTCAAAAAATCCTCTATAGCTCATTTTTTGAACAACTGGGGAATAAGGACAATTTTCTAAAAATTGGCATATAATCGTAGTTAGCTAAGATATCCACAAAATCTCGAAAACGTCCCGAGGGATTACCTAACTGTTATTAGGAAGGGGTATTAGGACTATCAAGCTCGACTGCCCTGTGAATATGGATTTGGAATTTTGGAATTTTTTAACACCCTGTAGTATAATGCTTTGTGCAAAATATCGTGTTCCCAAAATGAGACATAAGAGTCAAAGATTCAGCTATTCAGAATTTCCAAAGAAATTATAAATTTGCATCAAGTTTTGCTTTTAAAGCCAACCACATCATTTAAATCATATGGACGTATTACCTCTAATATGTCTATAACTTAAATAGACAGATAAACAATACATTGGCAAATTAGATTAATACACTGATGTAAACTCACTTAAATTCACCTTCGTTTGGTATAGAGACTCTTTTCGTGGTGTTGTGGTTTAACCATTAGGAGTTTTTAACCGCGACACATTCAAATCGAGCGCGCGAAACTCTCAAACCCATACGCTGTCAAACTGGGCAGATTTCATTTTGGTTTGAGATTAAAAAGATTCGAGGGCCAATCACAGAACGTCTCTTGCACCCGAACGGCGTCATTAGGTTTAAGAGCTGGTAGTAATTACTATTACAACTAAGTGTGTTAAAGTTTGTTAAATAAAGCTTAGGTAAGCTACAGGGCTGGATGCTCCCGCGGACGAGTTTTGGTTCGCGCCGCGCATGACGTCACCTGATGAGTAGTTGCAGCGCGAATACACGTATAATGCCTATATTATCAAAGAAAATAGACAAATATCTGGACATAGTGCGTTATTTTTAAACTTGATATTGAAAAAAATGTTATAATATGGATGATAGATGATTTGGAAAAATATTTGATACTATTTAAATCTATTTTTTGTTGTAAATTTGATATTAAAAGTATTTTATTAGTATGGATGCTAGTAATATTATCAAAACATAAAGAAATATCTGGACATAGTGCGTTTTTTGTGAATTATTATCAATAATACTACCACCAACCCCATTATCAGCAATTTCTGGTGGTTCTTCCACCCTATTAATTGATAAATTTAAAAATACACATATGAGCAGACTAATAAATGCTTAAAAACTTACGTGTCTCTTGACGCTAGAAGGATATTACTAATAAGTTGAGCCTTTTCCAAGTGTTCTTTGGGCTTTTCCCTTTTTTCACTTAAAAGTTTACGATTGTGTCCACTTGTTGACGGCACAGAAGAAACCTGAGTTCGAGGTAAATTTTGAGTAGGCACAGCATCATCTTTCAGTCCACGATAACGTTTAGGGCTGCAGTTTAAGAGTTTATGTTTTAAATTAAAGTTGTAGTCACTGTCCAGAAAATGTTTAGAGCAAACAGTAGCGCGCTTAACGTTAATTTTGTCTCTTCTTTTCGTTGCATGTAACCACTTTTTGCACAAACTTATGTTTTTCGGAAATCGATGGTATTTAATGTCTTTATTTGTAGGGTTTTTCTTGGACTGGTTGTCCGAAATGCATCCAAATATGGCACAACGCATTTTAATAAATGCAAATGGCACAACACAAACTAATAGCACAAACAGAACAGGTTAACACAAAGCAAGAACAATAATTTAAACACTGAAAAGTAATTCTAACCTTACAGAATGCAAAAACAACAAGTTAAACAAAAAAACAGAGCAATTTAACATCTAACAGCTTCGCAAAAACCAGAATTTTAGCGGCAGATAATTAAAACGAACGTTAGAGATTTAAAACTACTCATCAAGTGACGTCATGTGACGTATTTTAGCTCCGCCCACCATGCGCACCATCCTATCTTATGTTGTATGTATCTTGGGTAAGCTACAATTAATTTTTTCTACGACCACTATGTAAAAGTCACATTTCATATTGGCATCGTTGCTTAGAAAATGAATCTTTTCATTGGCAAGGCAAAACACGAATGTAAAGTGACATTTCTGTGTGAAAAGTGACAGGTCTGTGTGAAAAGAAATTGACAGCGTCGTTTGACATTCGTTTCAAAATTTGTATTATATTTATATATGTATGTCTAAATTTTGTTTAGAACACAATTAATTGTGTGTGTATAAAAAATTCTAGTTTTTAGTGCCTATATTTAAATTAAGAAGGTAAGTTTATTGATTTTAAGTAACTTATACCTTAAAAATTAAAAGAATAAGATGAAAGAATTTTAACAGCTGTCAAACACGTTTTTAGGTTATTTTGTTTGGTATTTAAATATAATAAAAAATAAAAGGGTCTTAGAAAAAACATTGTGTTTCACTTGTGAGAAAAGTTTTCTTCAAGCTCGTTTTAATGCACACTCGGTCTGAAGGCCTCGTGAGCAACTTAAACACTTGCATGAAAAAGTCGCTTTTCAACACTTAAAAAAAAAAAATAACTATTTCTATCATTTAAATTAACTAAGGGGGTTGTAAATATATTTTAACCAAGTTTAGTAACGTAGATTTGGTACCTAGGTATTACCTTAAAGGTATTATTTATTAACTGTATTATTTACGAGAACGCTGTGTAGAAGCATGGCGGCGTGGTGGCTTCAGTCTAACAATCATGTAACAATTCTATATATTAGGACTTGTTTCAACTTCTGCACAGGTTGATTTATTTATTTATCTATCGGCGATAGACTATTGCGATTTTATTTATGTACATGTTTTGATATTGCTTGTAATAATTGTAATAACATGTTTTGGGGATGTTCTGGCATTATTAGACAATCACGGGTAGGTTTCTTGCTATCTAACCTGTCCAAACGATTTTTGATAAAAAGGCAGTAAAGACAAATTTTAATCTGTTGGATAGAGAATTTGAGGGGTCCGTGATGGACTGGTTCCGCCATGGCAAACAACGAAATGCGAGAGAAATAAAATGAATATGATATGAATATAAATGAAATATTTGATTTATATTTGCATGTTATTTAAAATAAACTTTTTTACATATTCCGTGTATTTATTCAAACATCGCTGCGATTTTATCCTAGAACATTAAATGTATGTTGTTGATGCACACTGTGTGCAGCACACATCATGATGATGTTTTAAAATATCGTTAAATAAACTAAACTAAGTAGAAACCACGAATATATGAACGTGACTCATCCGACACATTCGTACGAAGCAATCTATCGAAGGTCACGGTCCAGTGCAGTCCAGTTTGTAAAAAATCTTGAGTGTAATGTTGGTTGCTATACTTATGATATATTTGCTTTTAAAGTTAAATAATTAACATCTAACATAATTAACATCTACGATAATTAAATAAAATGTAATTTTCTTAGAAACTAATTAATAAATAAACCATAGATAACAAAGCCTTTTCTTTTAACTTTAATGAAATATTCTATCATCTGATGACAGAACGTACTATCGCTAACAAAAAAAACTCATACAGCTTAAAAATCTAGTGTTCCTGATTTTCTATCATTTCGTTGGAGTAATTATGGCTTTTAACATGATACGTCACATTTGAAAGGTCTAAAATTAAATACAAAGTTAGGTTGAAGTTTGAAAAAAAAAATAATATTTCGTCATCCCTCTGTTTTTGTCAATTACTGCCCGCAAACTGCAAAGCATGGAATTCGCCGTCTTGCTTTATCTCGTTCCAAATGGCTTCAATGGCTTGCCAGAGTTCGTCTGCATTGTTTGGTTGAAAATGTTGTTAAAAAAGTCATAATGGATGTGACAAAGCTCGATGTCAACTTGACATTGACGGAAAAGTATTATTCACACAGCCACAATATAGCTGTATGAGTTTTTTTTATTAGCGATAGTACACTCGTGGCGACATCTCTGTTTTTAATATCTAACAAATTTTTAGACCGATCCAACCTCACTTTCTTCCAATTAAATTCTTTGTCTATGGTATTTTTTGGAAACGTAGAAAAAGTATAGTCTGAAACACGTTTGGAATTGCATATTCCCCTCTCGTGAAACCGTCAAACTTGTTACAGAATATACTATTCTTTTAACTGTAAACGCAAATATTTCAGAAGTGGTGACAAAAAACAAAAATGTTTACGCAGGTCAGGTACAAAGTGAAAGATATTTAAATTGTGTGGATATAAAAACAACTTGCGTTAGTTTCACGAAATTTATTAAATATTGACAATTGTTTCGCTACACAGTAGCTTCTTCAGAATGTATTAAACTAATACTAGTACAAAATTTATATACCTAATAAAAATATTTTTGTATTCTAGCCTAGAATTTCTAGGTAAGGATTTTTATACGACATCTACCTGTGTTACATAATATAAACCAATGCCACTACAACGTTTAAAACTATTATTAATCCGTAAACACACACCGTTTATTTAAAGTCCAAAAAACGTACAATAACAATTGCAATAAAGTCCAATAAACATGAAATAACAATTGCAATAAAAACCACTAGCACTACAACGTTTAAATCGATTATTAATCCGTAAACACACACAAGAAACACGATATGCAAAAACAAAGATCATATGACATATAAAAACAAATGGCCGACGGTAAAGTTGGTTGCCTTACTATGTAATAAAATAAAATAAATGCCTAAAACACGAACTCTACTGAATATAAGTAACAAGCTAGGACACGCGTCATATGTCCATCTTTATCCAACACCTAGACAGTTTTACATCACAGATGGCGCATTTTAGACCGGATGCTTAAAAACCTACGTGTGAGTACATTTACCGCTGCATCGAATGTACAAGACAAGTAAAACATTACTGCTAGCATGTCTGAGATATGTTCGGCACCCGATGAGTCACGTTCATATATTGGTGGTTTCTACTGTAATGTTATATAAACATCGTATTTGTGACGTTAACATGCTAACGTTATTGGCGCGGTCATTTTCCGTTCTCGCGACATTAATAGAACGGTAATGTTACAAGAATGCCAACGTCACAATGTAATAGGCTGACGTCGCAATAATGTCAATGTGACAAAGTTTTGCTTAGTGGGTTGAAACCGTTTAAAACCCATCTTCGATGCTTATTTTTGTTGCATTAACCCGCCACTTCTTAAATGCGTATAAAAGCATATTTTCCGTGGGGCGGTGAGACGTCACTTCCGTCGCCTACTAAAATCTTACTTTTAACAGAAGTTTGAAAAGAAGTATAAAAAAATCCTTCTATAATCCAAAACTTGTCTGCGTTTCAGATTCATTGTTGAGCCAAAGTTAGAACCAATCGAAAGCTTTTTCAAATTGAAAAAGTTTGAAGCGTCATATTCGTTGGTTAGCGAAGACCAGTTACCTGAAGACTATGAAATTGACGGTTCCGATGAGGAAATTGACATGTCAGAAATTAGCGAAAGTAAGTATCTTTAGTAGTTTGATAGTTTTTAAACGTACAGGTTGGGTGCTTGGTGTTTGTAATGTGAAATTAAGAATGTTGGGTCTTCTGAAACAAGAAATAAAATGGTGAATGAAAAACTAGGTTTCATCTAAGAAGTATGAATTTGGGGGAAAAAGAATCTTAGAAACTTATACTGAATTTAATTAATTTTAAGATGGTAAAAGTGAATAAAAAAACTTGGTTTCATTCAAGAAGTATGAATTTGAGAGAAAAAGAAACTTAGAAATTTATAGAGTGAATTAAACGTTGTCAAAGATTTTCAATTTTCTTCGAAAAATGCAATTTAAAAAAGTCGGTGCATGTTAAACGTAAAACTGGTTTCAGACACGAGCATTTCCAAAATGTCAACAAAAAGTCAACAAATGTCTACATCGGCATCGACCAGCGCTGGTTTAGCGAAAAAAGCTCAGCCACACCATACGAAAAACAAGGCTCGTCAGCCCAAATGGAAAAAAAACACCAGCAACAAGAACCTCCTGGTGCACCCCAGCAGCAAAAACTGTACTAAAAAAAGACAAAGGTTATCGTGGTTACGCTGATTAATTTGTTTTTTTTTCTGTTTTAGCTGTCGAAAAGGTGACGGTGACCCACGTAAACTCTCTGGAATCCTTCTTCGTTCAGCACCACAAGTTCGAAAAGCAATACAATCAAATGGAAAATGACATCAAGGAGCACATAGCCAAAGATCCACCTTACGTCGTCTCGCCCGAATTAAGTAAGAAATATTTTTTTTTTGTAATGAATTTTATTTTATTATTTTTAGACGAAGTCTATTTGGGATTAGTCGGTAAACTTTATGCAAGAGGGAGAGTGGTAAAGGAATTTAGAGATCCTAAAACTAACGACAAAAAATACGATTTTTATTTAATGGATCGAGGCACCACGGAAACCATAGATGCCAAGAGGTAACATACTTTATTATAATAAGAGTATTTTGAGTAAAATTGGATTCCAATGAAACTGAAATGGAGTGTTTCGTCGGCCTAGCCTAAATATTACCTTTTTTTCAAAAAATTTAATTTTTTTTTAATTGAAATTATACAGAGTTCGCGGTACTAACACAGTGAATCGATTTTATTTTTAAGAACAAATATCTTAGTAACAACTCGCATAAAAAAAATTCATTTGGCTTTTTGCTTTCTCGTAACAAGCTCTTCATATTAGACTTTTAAAAAAATGTATTTAAAAATTTTTAATTTTGCAAAATCTTCAATTGCATTTTTTTGCGCATTCTGTACAACAAAATGGAAGTTTTTCAACGTATTTATATAATAAGCAAAAGGAATTATGAGGAATTACTTTTTTTATAGTTAAGTCCATCCGTGGACACACTGTATATTTCAGTGGTTTACGTATTTTTTACCATTACTTTTTATTTTAATTTTATCATAAAAATTGTTTTATTCTCCTGAAATACGATTCTGTTCATAAAATCACTTTTGAAGTTCAAAAATGCATTTTTGTGGGAAGATTTTGACTATACCCAAAATTTAAAAAATTAAAGTCGGTCTAACGAAATGGCCAGGGACTTTATAATTAATACATTGTTGGCCTTTTTATTTTCAGTTTAAGAGAAATAACTCCATCTCTTGCACAAAGGAAACCATTTGCTTTTGAGTGTCAGCTACACAACCCGACTTTTATTAATTGGAGTAAAGATGCCCACGTTCACTTTGCAAAGCTAATAAATAAGTAAGTTAATATTTGTTATCGTTAAAATTATGTTAATATTTTGTTTGGGGTTGTCCATAAAGTACATCACACATTTTTTGGGGTATTTTAGACTCCTCTTCCCCCATGTCAAAGGTGGTCTTAAATATGTTAATTTTCTGAATATTGCCCAAAATAACCGCAATATTTTGTACAAAATGTTTATAATGGTCAACTAGTTTATTTTTTGTAAGAAAATACTTTCTTGATATCGATGACTTTCTGCCAAAATATCGTAAGCAACATAGGTAACTCAAATTTCGAGAATTTTATTATTTAAAAAATGGTAGTCTTGGCCAAATCTGCATGGGTGCACGTCATCAACGGCATATGACGTCAGCGTTAAGGTCTAATAATACGTGCCCAGTCACAATTTAACGCTCGTGTATTGTTGACTGTTTATAGAGGTGGGGGCTGTTTATTAAAATGTAATTATAACATCATTGTTATAATCTTCTATAATAACTAATTAGGAGTTTGTTAAGGGCAAATTTTGATTAAATGTGTTTAGAGAGGAAACAAACGGAGTTTATTACATTTTTATTACGTATGTACATAACAAAAAAAAATACTAAATTACCAGAAATACAAAAATAACAAATTACCAGTCACACTTGGAGTCTGATTATTTTCCCAAATTTATTATTATTTGCACAATCCAGTGGTAGAATATGATAAACACATTGTATAAATTTATTTATCTACTCCTATGGGATAATTTTGTTTTTTTTTTCGTGAATATATTGATAAACATTATAAATTCCCCGCTTAACAACGTGAATAATAAACTCATTATTCACGTTTAGGCCGATTTTAATATTCAATGTGATTTCAAACAATCGGGTTTTAAATTATATATATATATATATATATATATATATATATATATATACAGGCTGTTATGTAATTAATGTTATATATTAAAATACTGAATACCTTTTGACATAAGGAATAAAGGAAAAATATTTAAAAAAACATTTTTCCAAAGATAAAGAAAAAATATATATTAGAAGTTTTTTATATTTTTTGTGATACGCCACTGGCTACACACTTGTTTATCTCTGCACACCTGTATTTTGTGAGTACATAGATACCAACCAACAAAGTAGCTATGCGTTGCCAGATGTAAAAAATTGTTACTAAAAATTTTTATTGCAAAAAATAAATAAAAACTCAATAAATACAAAAGTTTTATGCCCTTAAAGCTCTAATACCCTTCTGTATTTATTTACTGACCCAGCTATTAGCTTAAGCAATGATTAGAAAATTTAGTACCTTTGAAATTTGAAATCCATAACCACAAAATTTATTTTTTTATCAGTTTTTTTCTCTGTTTACTCAGATGAAATTGGGACCAGTTCACAGGTTAAACTTTAAACATTTAATTTGTGTAAATAAATCCAAAAGCACTTCCCTTAGTTAAGATATTTACAATTTGAAAACATAACCTAAAAATTAAAAGAAATGCACTAGATTCTGTCATAAAACTTTGCAGATTTTGTTTGAATTTACCTTCAGTACAAAAATGAAATAACCAACAATTAATAAAAACGCCAAATTGACAATTTGCATTGTTAATTTTGTCATTTTTGTAATTAAGCTAAATTTAAACAATGTTTGTCAACTTTTTTGAGAGATTTTGGAAACACTGTTGCATATAACAAATATACTGTTTGTTACCAACCATAACATAATAAATCCACCAGATTAACCTAAAGTTCCTGGTAGGATAAAGGTTATTATAAATTATTTTTAGACTTTGGAATTTAGAAAAAAAAAGTTTCAGGTGCTTCTTTATGGACCCTAGGGAACAACCCATTTTAATATATAACATTAATTACATAACACCCTGTATATATAGATTTATCTATAAAAACTCTTTTTTAGATGCAAAATATATTTTAAAATAAAAAAAACAATAATTATTTAATAAAATAAATAGATTTTTATTTTATACTAATTTATATGGTAATAATGTATTTAAAAACTAAATAAAGATATTATGGTGTGTAAAGTAACTGTTTTTATTTGAATTCTTAAATAAAACAATTTAATGCGGCTATGTATACTTCAAATTCCTTATATTACTTATATACCATATACCGTAAGTTTTGTCACGGAGTGACGGCAGGCGCGCGGCTGTCTAAAATTCGTTCGCCAAGTGATCATACCTTGTTGTCTTAGTACTATGGCTATAGGTTTTATACCAAGTAAATTATAAGCTATTTACTTGTGATAAAACCTATCGGCTATATACATAATTAACGTGCAATACTTTTACAACAGATTTTACGTACAAAAATAAGAAAACAAAATCCTATAAACATAGGTCAGAAAATGCTTCCTAAGGGAGCTAAAGTCCCCGAAAGAGGAGCCCCTGAAGATGGTTTTTATTTAATATCAACAAAACCGTTCAAGATAGAAACGTGAAATTTTGGGAATTGATCAAACTTTTTATGGCCAATAAGATGTAATAATAACAATTTCAAGATAGATAGGAACTAAGAGTAAAACCAGGATTTGATGTCAGATTATTTTATTTTGTAGATTTACACACAAAAAAGGTCCTCTTGATATACTTTATTATTTCCCATTTTCGCTTAAAATCGATTTAAAAATTACCTTACATGGCATAAAAATTCATAATCAAATCACAACTAGAGAAAAAGATTCAACTTTGGCCATGGAACACGGCTGCCATGTTTAGGAAAAATTATTTTGAGTTTTACCAATTCTCAATGTTTCATTTTTCTATCTTGAACGGTTTTGGAGATAAAACTTTTGTAAACATTCAATTTTCTTAGTTTCTTTAAGAAACTTTCTTGACCCATCACTGGTAATATTCATAAGAAAACTTTTGTCTTATGTACGTAGAAGCCGCTGTTAAAGTATTGCACGCTAATTATGGGACACCATGTATAGTTTAAAAAATGTTAAAATTCTCGAAATTTGCTTGCGATACATTGGCAAAAAGTCATCGATATCTTCTTGTATCTAATTATTGATACTTAATTTAAGGAAAGAAGTTCATATGCTAACTAAAAATTACTCATTTGCTGTTCATGAAGTGGAAGTGATGATTTCTTCTTCGACAGGACAACTCACATCTGTTACAGATTTACTGATTAACACTTGCAACAATGTCCTTAGTAGTAGTGAAGAGGCTGGTGCTGTTTCTCCATCACCAGACTCTGGGGTAAGAACATAAAATAATTTTAAGGCCTTATAGGGCATAAATTGAATGGTATGTTTTCTGGTTTTCGGATTGATCCGAACATCCGACGCTATGTCCTGCAAACTTAAAAAAACACCTAACGGTTCTTTAATAAATTACGAACCGTTTGTCGCACAAAGGCGAAGAGACTCTTAAAATACTGGTAATTTAGAGCTACATTTTTTATAATACCTTTTTTACTCTCCGAGCTGCTTTTACTTAAATATATGTAAAAAACGATTTTTTTGGAGAATGGTTTCTCCTTTTTTTACCCCTTTTGCTCTAGATTTTTAACAAAAATTGTGTCTTGAAATTTTGTAGCTTTTGAAATTTCCTATACAATTACCATTTACTTGAAGTAAATTGGTCCAGTGTAGACATTTTTTAACTCTTCTTGGCCTTATAATTTGTTGGTGACAAAACAAAGTTATAAAAATATATGTATATTAAAAGCGAAATTTAATAGGTAATTAAGTTATGTAAATAGACAATAATATTATACAGGGTGTCCCAGAACTCGCGCCACAGAGAAAAAGGGGGCGTGCCGATAGCAATGGAAATTTAAAAATAAAAAATTTCTAGGTAATAGTGTAATCGAATGAGAGCAAAAAAGCGGCAGCCAATACCGAGACATCTCGCCTAGGTTAAACGTAGGAGCTTTAAAAATTGCTAGGAGACGATAGAACATTGTTGTCTTAAAAACATTTAAAAATCTTTTGGCCAACTGTATTTACTAAGTTGTCAAAAGCTTTCAAAAAATGAGGTTATTAATCTATGACTGATACTTCAGAACGCCAATGTTTTAAAGTAAAAAATCAAACCAGTTGTACTTTATTTAGCTTTTTTTGCGCCCACGCTTCCCATAAATAGTTATCATTTCGGTATAATCATCAAGGAAAACATTATTTATAATAACTTAATTTATTACCTAATACAATATTAATGACAAAAGTAAAGATTGACAGCATTGTCAATAATAACTTAATTTATAACATAATATAATATTAATGACAGGAGTAAAGATTGACAGCAGTTTTACAATGAATTGGATTCCAGTGGACCAAATATTTTACATATTTTTTATTATCAACAATGCAACCTAAGTATCCTAGCAATTTAAAGAATTCCCTGTGGTGATCTATTGGGATTGGCTATCGTTTTTTATTCTTATCTCCCTTATCCTTTGCGTTGGACAATTTGAATTTTTAAATATGTGTTTCAAATTACTTTCGGTACGTTCCCTTTTTCTCTGTGGCGCGAGTTCTGGGACACCCTGTATAGGAAATATTTAGATCTACAAAATTTTAATAGAGAATTTTCTGGATAAAAAACGTCGCTAAAAGGGGAAAATCAACCAAAATAAGTTTTATAAAAAATTTAGCACTTATTATTAGCCCGTTTTTAAAAGTATGTGCAATAAACGGTTTGTAAGTTATTAAAACAAAAAGTGTTTCATGATAGTGGGCCACGGCGCACAGTGGGCTGGGCCTGGCCAGAAGTCCAAACAGTCAACTTTATCTGATCAAAAAAAAGAACACACCAATGTAAAGAAAAATCCTTAATTTGTAAGATTTCGAAAGAAAAAAGTTAAAAACATTTTATTTAAAAAAGATACAGATGTTTAAAGTAAAGCAATACGGAAAAAATTCAGATTTTAGATTTGAACGGAATTTTCTTTGCCTTTAAGGGGTTGTTTCTTCTTATACATAACAAAAATATAAAGAAATACGTATTGTATGTTTTGTATTAGTTATTTGTTGTACAAGTGTTGAAAAGCGAGTGTTTAAGTTGCTCACGAGGCCGAGTGTGCATTAACACGAGCTTGAAAAAAGCTTTTCTCACAAGTGAGACACAATGTTTTTTCTACGACCCTTTTATTTTTTTATTATATTAAAATACAAAACAAAATAACCTAAAAACGTGTTTGACAGCTGTTAAAATTACTTTCATCTTTCATCTAACTTTTAAGTTAGAAGTTACTTAAAATCAATAAACTTACCTTCTCAATTTAAATAAAGGCACTAAAATTGGAATTTATCATAAAAACACAATTAATTGTGTTCTAAATAATATTAAGACAAACATATACAAATACAATACAAATTTTGAAACAAATGTCAAACGATGCTCTCAATTTCTTTTCACACAGACCTGTCACTTTTCACACAGAAATGTCACTTTTCATTTGTGATTTGCCTTGTCAATGAAAATATTCATTTTCTAAACAACAATGCCATTACAAAATGTGACTTTTATATAGTGGTTGTAGAAAAAATTATTTTATTAATTATACTCATAAACTTATTTTAAATAATATAATAAGTACATTGTAATATCATAATTTTACACTTAACTAGATATAAGTTATGCAGTCCAAGTTGGTCCAGAAAAATGTTTACACACACCAAATTATAGCCCAAAGAATACGAATAAGGGTATATATGGTTATTGATACATCTTTTGACAAATAAGTTGTAGTGCTTTATAAAAGCCCGCTCGCTAAGAATTTTGTATTTAAAATTGTTAAACAGTTATAGATTGCGCTCTTATAATCTTATCTATAATAAATATATGATCTATTGTTAATTTTTTAATATTACGTATACAATTATTTAATAATATTAAATGTTATCACTCCCAAAATAGTTAGGATTTTAAAATAGTAAAAACATTTGTTGGAAATTAACTAATCTACAAAAAAGGTTTCCTTAGTATTTTTGATAAATGTAAGAGTTTTAAATATAATCGCAACTAAAGTTCAACTTATACTTTACCTTTTTTTAATAACTAGGTAGGTACCGTAAAAAATATTAATTTTACTTCCATTTTTTTAATATTTTTATAAATTTGTGTTCTTTCTTATTAATTAAAATACGCTATTAAGCACAATCCACACAACATTGTGTGGATTGTGCTATTAAGTATTTCACATTTTGTTCTAAAATTTGATTTTAAAATATATATTTTTTAAAAAGTATTTCAGTATCCAAGCCTCTTGGATGAAACATTTGTCATAAATAATTACACTACAACATTTATACCAATGAGTTATTTAGGGGGAAAGTTTTAAAAAACCCTTATTTTGAAAAAAAAAATGTATTTTGTTCAAAACTTTTTCAACTTTGATCTAAAATATCTTTTTTTGTAGAGTATCTATTTCTGAATAAAATGAAAAAAACAAGGTCACACATTAGTTTTGACCAGGAAAGTAGCATTCCAACCCACCGTGCGGCGCGCCTCGGGGAAAACCAGAATACGTATATACTATTCAATATATGCTCTTTCGATTAAAAAAATAAAATTTCGACCGGTATAAAAGTATTACTGGCCTATTAAACATTTTGCCATTTTTAGGTTACTTACTCGCAAGAAATTAAATTATACCCAAACAGCGTGAAATTTCACGTAAATAAGACAATGGATATACTAATCGCTTACGTCAATACACCCCACGATATATACGTCCAAGAGGTAAACTAAAAATTTAAATTAGTGAAATAATACAATCAGCTTTTTAGAAAAACAAATCTATCACTGGAACTAAATAAATTAATGCTTGTGTAACAATCTTAAGAATGTCTAATTAAGCTACTAAATTTACTTCTGGTGACTGATATGATTTTCCCTGTTGCTCTCTTCTCGCCCTTTAATCCAATGTTCAAGTCGAGCTTAAATGTAAACCCGTATTTTTGTAGTACTCGAACGCTGATGTCCTCGCCAAACTTACGACGGAGATGGATCGGCATTACAAAAAGGCGTTGGCTGGCTGCGTTCCGATTGCCAACACGTATGTGGTGGTAAGACACAAAGGTCCAAAAACGGACGGACTCTACCATAGGGCCTTCGTTAGAAACGTGAACGCCATGGAAGACAGAGTCGATGTGTTTTTGGTCGATTGGGGTATTAAAACTTGCGTGCCGACCGAGGACGTGAAGCTGCTCACAGAGAGTTTCACTCGATTGGAATGTCAGGTAATAGTTGGCATGCTAAAACAATTATTTTTAATTTTGTCTGTTCTTAAGAAGTGGGTTCGTTATGGAACGCCGTTTTATCATTTAATCGAACAACTTTATAGTAACCATAAAATTCAACAACGTTATTTCATTGTTTGAAATTCATTCAAGTATGAAATTCGCTATATTTCAATGTTTGAATTAAACTGATTGCTAAAGAAAATTATCCACTAATTTTTATGTTGAAAATTAACAGAGTCAATTTCAATCAATAGAATTCACTTATGTTATTGAATGGAATGCACAATTTCATTGAATGAAATTCGGAATTTCATTGAATTGAATGAAGAATGTCATTCAATGAAATGCTTAATTTCATTGAATGGAATTCATAAGATCATTGAATGGAATTCATAATTTCATTGAATTAAATTCACAATTTCATTGAATGGAATGCACAATTCCATTGAATGGAATGCACAATTTCATTGAATGAAATTTGTTTAAATGCAATCCGGAATTTCATTAAATGCATTGCACAATTTCAATAAATGTAATTCAACTTGCTTTTTTTTTAATGAATGAAATACGCAATAATAATACAATCATTTAGTGAATTTTAATGATTGAAACTGACCTTGTTTATTTCAAACATTAAAATTAGTGGGTAGTTTTCTGTACCAATTAATTTAATTCAAACATTGAAATACACCGAATTTTATACTAATTTACATGAACTTCGTTTAAAAGAAACTTTTAAATTAACTTACTTATGTTATTGAATGGAATGCACAATTTCATTGAATGAAATTCAGAATTTCATTCAATGAAATGCTTAATTTCATTGAATGGAATTCATAATTTCATTGAATGGAATTCATAATTTTATTGAATGAAATTCACAATTTCATTGAATGGAATGCACAATTCCATTGTGGGCATAGGGCAATAAATCTGTCAACAACAAATGCGTAATGCAATCCCAAACGAAACCGAAAATAAACACTAGACTCACAGAATAAACTAACACATTAATCATTATAACCCTAAAACAGTAAAAAAAAGCCTAACCAAACTACTAGATTTGTAAACATTAGATAACAGAATAATTGCGCTTGTCATTTGTTTAACTAATAAATAAATGCAATACTTAATTTTGGAATTTAAGAAAAAAAAGACAAAACTCTACAACAAAACGTGCTTGGGACAAAATTTACGCAAACTTGAACGGAAGATCATTACACTACTAACGACAGACTTACCCGACTACCATCACCAACATCCCCGCGACCTGATAATGGGCAAAACCATTACCAAAAGAGTAAGAGTAGCCCAATTAAAATACTGGGCCCACGTCACTCGTAGGCAACGCAACAACATACTACAAGCCACCCTTAAACTAGACCTTACAGACATAAAAGTCGGGAGACCATGCTTCACATATCATGACACTTTAGCACAAAACATGCACTTCTCACAAATTAACAAGACCAGTTGGGAGCAACTAAGCAACAATAAAAATAAATAAAAAAAAAACAACTGACACACTTTACCAAGTGCAGGAACTATCTGACCAGGACTCGGACAATGACAATAACGAACAAGACAAAGACCTCGACTAGGAAACTCCACCCCTGCAGCGAAATAACAACTCCCCAACTCCAAATAGTAATCCCAAATGTTTGGAGTAATACTAATCGACTGGTCTAGGGGGATTCCGCGTCGTATTTAGTTTTAAGTCGGCGTAATTGTCCCCCAAAAACCAACACCCTCCCGTCCCTACTGGGCTTATAGCATCGGCTCGGCGAACCCGAGAATGGCTATTAAAACTATTCGCATCTCGCTCTAGAGCCCCAAATAGGGGACAGTACGGAACGCAATGGACATTCGCACCCAGCAAACACGGGTGAAGCCGTGCAGTTGCTGGGGGCGAACAAAAATCGGCGTAAGAAAACATAGGCCTGTACGGGGTCCGAGAGTGATGATGAAATGGGGCTGGTTATACGTCTCTTATACTCATACTTAAAATTTAAAATGTTTAATTCCAATCATTTAGTGAATTTTAATGATTGAAACTGCTTGTTTATTTTAAACATTAAAATTAGTGGGTAGTTTTCTGTACCAATTAGTTTAATTCAAACATTGAAATACACCGAATTTCATACTTTCATACTAATTTACATAAACATTTCATTTTCATCTTTGTGCGGAATTGGTAATTACAATTATTAAAAATACTGCGCTTACTTCGTTTAAAAGAAACTTAAATTAAATGAATTTAAATGTTTGAAATTAATGCAGGATTTTTATACTAGTTTTAACGACAACTGTAATTTCATTCATTGAAATTCGTCCAATTTATAAAACTGATTAATAAAAGGAACTAGGGAGTATAAAAACGGTTTTTTAAGCTAAAATGCTCAATTCTCGGTTGCAATTGGTCGAACATCTAAAACCATATTTAAATAAACCAATCTGCATAAGTAAATTTTATTGATTAAAATTGATGCTGTTAATTTTAAACATTAAAATTAGTGGATAATTTTCTTTACCACTCAGTTTAATACAAACATTGAAATACAGCGAATTTCATACTTCGAAATTAGTTTTTAATCTAGCATGAATTTTAAACAATGAAATAACGCGATTGTTGAATTTTTTGGTTACTTTAAAGTTGTTCGATTAAATGATAAAACGGCGTTACCAAGTTCGTAAATTAAATTTAAGTTAACAGTTTAAAAAATATAGTGGTTATATTTTGCAAACTTGTTAAAAACCAGTTTGTTATTTCCCACATAACACAAAAATATATTTTAAATTATATAAACTCCTGGACAAAATTAACGCAACATCAAAAAATTTGCCACATTTTTTTATGCTATTTTTTTGTTGAATTTATAATCCGATTTGAATGATTTTTTTTTGCATTGTAGGTTGGTTCCTTGACAATGTCATAATTTTCGCTGTTTATGATAAAAAGTTCATTCTCGATTTATACCGGGTGTAATAAAAATGTAATGTTTTTTTCCGAAAATTCGTATCACCCTGTGGAGTATACTAGCAACCGAAACATATAGCAGTTGACATTTGACGGTAGGTTCATCTTTCGCCAACATTTTCTTTTTTGGTTTACTTCATTATCTCTGTTATTAAAGGATATACGCCGTTTTATACCGTAACATGTTTTTTATAGACTTTATTATTCAAAACAAGGCTATGGACCTTTTCTGACATTTCAAGAGATGTTTAGATTATTTGTTATCTGTATAATTGTATAATTTCTGCTCGCTTTGATGCATAATCCTGCATAAATAAACTATTCAGTCCCAAAAAAGGAACAAATAGCATTACATGTTCAATTACAATGTTTTCTAGATAATAATCGGCGTTTATTGACCTTACACGTATAGGGACGTATAGACTCTGTGCGTCCGTTGAAGCATATTCCTCCCCAAAACATTACAGAGCCTTCACCAAACGGGATTTTAGGAGAGATGTTGCCACTTGCAAATCTCTCTCCTGACCTTCGCCAAACACGTTCACACCATCAGGAGAATTGAGACTAACTCTCGTTTCATCAGAAAATAAAACTTAACAGTTCAATGTTGATAATTTCTGGCAAAACGCAATCTTGAAACTCTGTGCTCTCTGGTAAGTAATTGTTTCTTTTCCGGTTTTGTCTTGCTTAAACCTGCCTCATTTAAACGTCTCCTGATTGTTCGAGACGATATTGTATTATGGCGAGCAGTTCTAAGCTCACTTTTTAGCCTAGTACTAGTAATCTTCCTGTTTCTAAAGCAGTTTGCCTAAAAAAACGCTCATCCCTTGGATCGGTACATCGTTTTCGCCCTTGTCCTGACCTTGAAGATCCTGTCTCGTTAAATCGTTTAAGCATACGACTTATAGTCGAACGATGTCTTCCTATCACATTAGCAACATCAGGGTTCGTAGCGACCGGGAAATCCGGGATAAGTCAGGGAATATAAAATGAGTCTAAAAAGTCATGGAAAAGTCAGGGAATTATCTGTAACTAATACTAATACTTAAAATAATAATAATATAAAAGAAAATAATATTTACCTAATACCTACACAATCTACATTATGATTTAATATAAATGAAATGCTTGGGCAATTTTAATGTAACTACCTAATCAGTTTTTCTTTGACAAAAGTCAAAGTAACATTACAAGTCTTTCTCGTAATTATGAAAAATTGTTTAATAACGAAAATCAAGGTTCTGGAAAACAAAAAACAATAATTAACTGAAGGAATCAACCATGAAGTGGACAGTATCAATAGACGTCTACAAATATTGAGAGAAAAAGTTTAAAATCGTTATTTGACTTATTTTTGTATTTTGTTTTTGTTTTTATTTACGAGAAATATGCATGCTCTATGTTTTGTTATAACTATTAAGTTAAATTTTAAAAGATCTAAAAAAGTTTTGTTTTTGAATTACATGTGTCCTGGACTACGGAAAGCTACCTATGGTTAGAAATCAAGTTTTTGAGAAAACAACTGTTAAAGATAACAAGTACTGTCCGTGCGTCGCGTTTGTATTTGCGCTTCTACCTTTTCTTTTTTCGTCTTACCCTTGGCTCTCCACCTCTCTTTAGACTTCCATTATGCAGTGTTGTGAAAGTGCATAATGGATTTAGAAAAAGAATTTAAAGCAGTGGAGAAACAATGTTTTGCGGATTGTGATGAAGATTACAAAGATCAAGGTGGAGGTGCAGGTGTTAGTGACATAGAAGATGACGTTGTACCAGATTCGTCTTTCGATATGTCTCTTCAGGATATTGACGAAAATAAAATATCAAAAAAAAGCAATTCTTGATCCATTTATAACGTTGTACCAGATTCGTCTTTCGATATGTCTCTTCAGGATATTGACGAAAATAAAATATCAAAAAAAGCAATTCTCGATCCATTTATAACTTTTTTCGCGATTTTTATAATTCATGTTGAACTTTAAGGATTATTTCCAGCAAAAGTTTCAAACTTAGGAGTCTAAAAAAATACGTTAAATTTTTTATAAATTTCGATCAAAAAACCAAAATTGATTCTTCCGACCATAGGTCACATATAATATGAATTATGCTATATGTATTTATTTTTGTTTTTATGGTCTGTTATTAAAGCTGCAAAGTATAAATTCTATTTTTTATTTTTTTCCTATTTGCCTGAATATAAATATCAATTTTTGACACCTTCCACAGTCTATGGAAAAAGGTTGAGAAAGTTCTGAAAAACCTGGAAAAGTCAGGGAATTTTATACGAATTCATTAGTATGAACCCTGAACATGACATCGAATAGCCCTCATCCACCAAAGTTAAGTCTCTTACTGCTTCTTCCGTCGAAAATTTTTTTGGACGATTTATTTTTCAAGATTAAAATACGAAAGGAACGTTTAATAAGCAGTTTTCGAACAGTTGTTATAAGTATGGCGAATTTTCCATAGCCTACCTGAAAACATTTAACAATTAATGTTTTGAATAATAAGTCTATAAAAACATGTTACGCTATAAAACAGCGTATCTCCTTTAATAACAGAGATAATGAAGTAAACCAAAAAAGAATATGTTGGCGAAATATGGACCTACCGTCTAATGTTAACTGCTATGGGTTTCGGTTGCAAGTATACTCCACAGAGTGATACGAATTTTCGGAAAAAACATTACATTTTTATTACACCCGGTATAAATCGAAAATGAACTTTTTATCATAAACAGCGAAAATTATGACATTGTCAAGGCACCAACCTACAATGCAAAACAAATATCATTCAAATCGGATCCTAAATTCAAAAAAATAGCATTATAAATGTGACAAATGAATGTGATGGAAAATGTAAAATTTTCTAGTAAGAAAGATTAATCAACGAATAATGGTCAAAAAATATTTTTTACATGTTTTAGGCAATAAAAGTTAAATTGGCACACATAGAACCATACAACATGGAGAACGACTGGTCTCAAAGTGCCATAATATTTTTGGAGAAATTCGCAATTCAGAAGAATCAACTAAAAATGACTGTTAATGCTGTCAACCCACTTGAAGTTGTCCTATTCGAGGAAAATGGTGCTGTTGATTATTGCTTGAATGCGCAACTGGTGGCAGAACGATTGGCGGAATCAACAGGAAAATTGTAAGCAAAAAATGATCTATCAATATTTTTTTTATATTACCATTTTAGATCTGCCGTGGTGGAATGGCCACAAATAAAGGCAAACGTTTCCTCTAAGACTGAAGACGTAAGCCTAATAGGTAATATGTTGAATAACGTAACCCTAAATTCTGAGGACGACGACGATAGCGAAGCAATGCAGGGGTTGCCCAAATTGATTGAAATTTCAAAGTTTGTTTCGCCTGATCTTATTTTTATTAGACTGTTGGACAGTAGAGAGACACACCAGCAACTTTACAAGGAGATACAAATTCACTACAGCGACCCGAAAGTAAGAATCAAAATGAATTCCTGCAAGGTAAATGATAAGTGTGTAATCTACCACACCAAGCAAAAAGCATATTGTCGTGGAAAAATAGAAGACATTTTGGATAACGGCACATGCAAAATATATCTGCAGGATTCTGGGGAATCGGAGATTGTCGTTAAAGACAATATTTTCCAAAATCATGAGTATTTTAATAAGTACCTGCCTGCGGCCATAAAGGCTTGTTTGGCGGACATCAAGCCAGCCGGAGACACTGGAAAATGGTCAACATCCGCCATCGACGCGTTGAAACAAACCCTTAAGGACAACAGGGAGTTGTACGTGACCAAAGCGGGCAAACTCAACGACGATTTTTATTTCCCGGTGGTGATGTGGTACAAACACGTGATCGCAGGGCAAGGGGCCTTGGATCCGTCCTACATAAAGTACGTTTCCATAAACAACGTCCTCGTGAAGCTGGGGTTTGCCTACAGGTGCAACCCGAAGAACAAAACCGAGTCGAATCGCCCTGATCTGGAAGACGAACCGGTGAAACTCGAACAAGAAGAAGAAAAACCGATCGTGAAGAACAACCAACCTGACGGTTCTCCGTACCGCAGAATTGAACTGCCCAGCGCTGATTGGCATCCCGCTTTTAAACTGAAAAAGAGGAAATTCAGAGCGTTGATAACGTGTGCGGACGATTTGGGCGGGTATTTGTATCTCCACGACGAGGCGTACCAGGTGGGATACGAAAATCTCGAGGAGGATATCAAGGCATACTTCGATTTCAACCAGATCACTAGGAAGAGAGAATCGTGGTTGCCCGGGCAAATTTGCACGATTTCCTACGACCAGAAGTGGTACCGCGGGAAAGTTACTCAGGTCAGAAGCCAAGAAAAAATTGAGGTGATCATGATCGACTTTGGCAGCACGCATTTGGTTCATCCCAACGATTTGTACATTGAGATTTTGTATCCCGACATCCCTGCGTTCGCAACCAAAGTGACCCTGCACAACGTGCATCCCAAATGCGGGAAATGGTTGACTTCCGATCACGATTTGCTGATGAAGATAGTGGAAGAACACGCGGATGTGGTCGTGCATGGGCCGCTGGAAGCGGATGTTCCGGAAGTGACGGTGTTCCTCGACAGCGGCATCTGCCTTAACAAGGAGTTGGTGAAACGATCGCAAAACCTGGTCGAGGCTCACTCGTTGAAAACCGAAACCACAGATGACGACGACGAACCCATAGTAATGGAAGACGAGGAAATCGTGGATCTAACCCAATTGGAGCTACGCCCGACGGAGAGTTATACATTGGCGGAGTTGCCGAAATCCGCGCTCGATAAGGGATCGAGAATGTCGATTTTGAACGTCCTCAATTACAACACGGTGATTTTGAACTACGCCAACCAGTCCGGGGACTATTTTGCACTCTTCGAAACGATGACCGAAGAGATGCAGGAACAATCTTCCTCCCAACCGCCGCTGGAAAACATCGATTTGGATCGGTGCTGCGTTTGTCCGTATTCCGAGGACGACAAATGGTACAGGGCCAAAGTTTACAACCTGGAAGGCATGGAATACGGAGTCGTGTTTGTTTTGTTCGTCGACTACGGCAACATCGAAAGCGTGTCGTGCTCAGACCTAAGAGCTATGAAACCGGAATGGTTTCAACTGCCGCTGCTCAACCACATCGCAAAGGTGGACATTGAACTTTGCGTCACGCAGCAGGCCGATCACGTGACTACGCAAATTAAAAAGTTGACCAACAAAACGAAGACGATTGAAATTGTCAATGAGGAACCGCTTACGGTTCGCATTCTGGAAGACGATGGTTCATTTAGTTACCAGAATCTAATTGATAAGGGTTTAATTAAGGCTAATTAAATCTACACCTTTTAATGATTTTTTTACGTTTCGTTACTTTTTAAGTTGTATGTGAATTTCACATTGTGAAATAAATGTTTTATTTCTTTACACTTTTGTTTATTTTATCAATAACACCACTTGTGGTTTTGGTCTCATTTAATATAAAAAATATATAGGTAGCTATTAATTAGGTATGTATAAAAAAATATTCTTCAATAAAATGTTTGGGCTTATTACAATCCAAATTTTTTACTGCAGGCAAATATTGCGACTGTTACATCTTGTTTTTTAAGGTTTTGTTACTTTTCAAGTTGAATGTGAAATAAATGTTTCTTTTTTTACACTTTTGTTTATTTTATTCATAAAACCACTTCTTTTGCTCTGATTTGATATAAAAGATATATAACAATTAGATACGTTAACAAATTTGTATAAAATTTAATTACAACAAAATAGTTCTTAAAAATGTCGAATGAAACGGGTCACGATATCTTGTTCCAGATACTTCGTAGTTTAAAAATCCGGGTGGTTTGAAATCGTAGCTGATCGTTTTTTAATTTTATCGAACAATCAATTTTTCAATATTTTTCTTTAATTTTCGAAATCGATTTGAGGCTTCCTGACGTAGATAATAGCCACCAGATTGATATTGAGGCCACTTCTATTTTTAATACTTGTAAATGATTTGAATGAGCCTTGTATCCGTCCTACATAAAGTACGTTTACATAAACAACATCCTTGTGAAGCTGGGATTTGCCTATAGGTGCAACGCAAAGAACAAAACCGAGTCCAATCTTCCTTATCTTGAAGAGGAACCAGTGAAACTCAAACAAGAAGAAGAAAATCCAATCGTAAAAGACAACCAACATGACGGTTCTCCGTACCGCAAAATTGAACTGCCCAGCGATGATTGGCATCCCGCTTTTAAATTGAAAAAGAGGAGATTCAGCGCCTTGTTAACGTGTGTGGACGATTTGGGCGGTTATTTGTATCTCCACCTCAAGGCATATTAAGTAAAAATTGCCAAGTAACGTGGAATGGCTGATATCTAGTAGATATTACTTACGTTAGAAAGCCTCAAAACGATTTTGAAAATTAAAGAAAAATATTAAAAAACTGACTGTTCGATAAAATTAAAAACCGATCAGCTAGGATTTCGAAATCCTTTGATCAAATCACACGGATTTTTAAACTATGAAATTTTCATAAGATTGAAGGAAATGCCTGTAGAAAGCTGCTAATAGAAGCGGGTCCATGCACTTGACGACCCTGAAATTTATTCAGATACTAGGCATTTCTCAACGGTACCTTTTACAAAACTATGGATAAACATTTGACCAAATTGAGAATATCTTGTGATTCCATGTAATTTTCGAACATCTTAAGCACTCTTTTTATTTTCTGAATGAAAAGGGACTGCCCAGAGAGCCATATCAGGTTAAAACATGGCCAAGAATTGCCCATTACCTTTGGAAAAGTTTTGCCAATAAATGTACTATGTAGGACTGTATATTCCTATGGTATTTGTGCAATCGCGATGGCCAACAATAAATGACCAAATTGTGCCCAATAATATGCCAAAGCAGTTTGGATAAATTAGGTAGGTTACCGTTGGTTTAATTTTGGGAATGTTTGGGCATGGAAAAACGATGACAAATTTTTGATGTTTATTTGGGCAATTAGGCTTTTGAAAAATTGACCAAATATTGGTAAATATTTGGACAAATCCAAAGTATTAACAAATATTATTATTATATTTGAAAATTGGGTAAATAAAAAATTTTGTATTTATATTTTTTAATAATAAAAAAATAAAACAGTATGTTTCAATACTGGAACAGAGGTCAAAAATAAAATTAAAAAAAAAAACAAATGTATAAATAAAAAATATTTAAAATAATCAAAATTGGAAAAAAATATTGTTTTTTTTATGTTGAATCCCAAGCAGTGATTTAATTGTTTTTTTGCAATAAGGCTTTTTTTTATTTCGGACCCGTTGCTTCGCGTTGTTTAAGGCCACGTCAAAGGACCTCTGGAATTCTAAAGCCCCTGGAGGAGGAAATTTATCATGTTCATGTAAACTCTCTAAAAAATACTTTAAGTAACAAAATTGTCTAGGAAATAATATTAAAATATAAAACATACGGTGAATGGCTTGTACGATTTTTGTTTTGGACACTCCAACACCAGCACGTCCAGTGCGCGTTATTTTGGAAGAAACTTCATCTGAGAAGGCTTCTTTGACAATTAAATTCACGCTGCCTACGACGTCATCGTCAGCGACAAATTTAAAGTAGCTAACCTATAACATAACAATATAAAAACACAACGGCCATTTCAAGCGGATGGACGGGACAAATCCCAAAATTGTTTTTATAAAAAAAATTGTAGGTAATTTATTATATATTATATTTGCATCAAAATTGTCAAATATATTCTTCTATTATTAGGCTATACATTAAATAAAAAAAATCGCAAGAAATATTTTATAAAAGTGGAGATAATTTCAATAATTAACAGGGGTGGACGGGACAAGATAAATCTTTTTTTTGTCCCGTCCACACCTTTCAATTATTAAAATTATATCTACTTTCATAAAATATTTCTTGCGTTTTTTTTTATTTAATGTATAACCTTATAAAAGAAGAATATTTTTGACAATTTTGATGCCAAAATATTATATAATAAATAATCTACAATTTTTTTTATAAAAACAGTTTTGTAATTCGTGCGTTTCGCGCGCTTGAAATGGCCGACAAGTCTTAAAACGTATTTTGGAAGTGAAAACCATTTTTTGATACATGTTTACAAAAAAGTGTTATTTTTCTATGAAGAATGCACTGTTTAAGTTTGGCCCCCTAATTTCAGGACACCCTGTATACCTATCTATAGATTTCTTTAAGTGCAGATGTATATACAAGAATATTCTTGGTTGAGTTTTTCTTGTTTGACGGGTCAACACAAATTGTGTTACACAATTTTTTAAATTAAATTACCTATGTTACGTTTCATTACATTACTTTAAATGCTGGCTAAATCCACCTTTATACTTGTTATAATATTATGATACAAATAGAATTACGATCAGGCTATCAAGAATTATGCTTTATTAAACATTAAGAACTTATTGTAAAATAGTTTGTGATTGGTAACTTTATGTTATGAAGAACTTTAAAAATAAAAAAGAAATAAATTTTTAAATTCAATAAAAAAATTGCAATTACCTTGCTCACTTCTAGCACGATAGATCTTAAAACCCAATAAATCCTCTTTTTTCTTCGTGACATATAGGTAGAAAATTTATTTTTAAATTGTCCTGCTTGTAGTAAAAGCCTAGTACCCATAAACACTATTTACCTAGAAAAAGGCAGTTATTTTTCTTCACTGCAACTTCAAGATGAAAATCTGTAACAATTAACAAAAAATAAGTACATAATATAGAACTAGCAATGTAAATTTATATTACCTACTTCAAAATTAATAAGGGAATAAAATCTTCGAGAAGTAAGAAATTGTATAATAATTGAATGTTTTATTAAAAACTTTGAAAACAAACCTAACCTTAATTACTTACTCAAAATTTAAAGCCGTTTAAAACTTTACACGTTTAGTTAGTGCACAGATGATTATATTTTTTTGTAATAACTATCACACAAGCACTTTTTGACGCCTTTTTGTAGAGAAGGTCTTGAAATATTAACGCCATTGCGATTCTTTTTCCATGCTGATCAATTATTTGCCAAGTTTCGATCAATCTGAATTACAAACGCTTTGCCAATTTTCGACCAAACTTCATTACAAACGACGTTGGCCAATAATAACTCTATCTAGGACTGTATATTTGTGTAGTTGTTGTGCTATCGCATTGGAAAATAATTTGGCATAAAACATGTCAATTTTTGGTCAAACTTTATGAAAATACAATTAATATGTCCAAATAAACCCCAATAAATGTAAAATATCGTAGTCCAAACTTAGTTGGGAAAAAGTTGACTAATTTCTTTCCCAAAGCATGGCTCTCTGGGTGGTTGTGGTCAAAGCAGGCCATCTCCCTGAATCAGTCTCAAGTATTCTTGAATCGGTTTACAGGCCCTTTTTAAACATATAAAATCAATGTAATTGAATATTCCTCCTATCCACAAAGATTGAAAAGAGGGGTAGTTTAATATTTCTCTTTACACATTCGAATTCCAGTGTTTAAAATTATAATTTCATATTAATAAAATTGTCTTTTATTTTATTTATAAATATGAAAATTATTTTTAAACTAATTAGTATCTGGATTAAGATGCCATGACTAGAGATGTAAAAAACGGTTTTTTTTTTCAGATTTGAAAAAAAACATGGAAAAAACCTAAAAAACGGTTTTTTTGTTTTTTTTTCAAATCCGCTACAATAAAGCATATTCTGTCATTAAATAACATCAATCAAAATTCAACCTAAAATATCACGTCCGCGTGTACATATCGGTAAAGTCTATATTGTGAAAACAAGTGTAAAATCAAGACAATGGAGATTTCGGGCGATGAAGATGAAGACACCGACAACCCCCTTTCGGAATTTTTATCAAAGAAGAGAAAGTATAGTAGTTCGGAGTTCATAACCTACGCAAGGCAACTATCTGACGAACAAATAAGGGACATTATCGGATTGGAGAAAAAAAAAACGTAAGAAATCAGTAGATAAAGGTCCAAGTAATAACACTAACATATCACAAGAATCAATTCAATCCAATAATGTGACAAATCTACCTTCATGTTCAAAAGTCCCCAACAATTCAACAAGTCTACCTACAACCTCAAACGATGCCAATAATTCCTTAAACTACAAAAAAAACACTTCTAACATCATGAAAAAAATCCTACATAAAGAATACTTAAACCTATTCTATTTTTCAACTGATAACTTCACTACAAGAACCCAAGTAGCTGACTTATGGGAACAGGAACGTCCACATAACAGTGACACAATCATTAAAACTACCAAAGGTTTCTTACTTAAATCTGACTCCCCAAAGATAATTCTTACAAATTTGTTAAAAAAACTTCAAACCAATAAACATATCTCCAACTTTACTGAAACCAAACCTTATAAAACATCACCAAGAACCCCAAATACTCCATCAATTTCTTACTCATGCGTAATATCAAACGTTGAAAAAGATATTTCCGACAATGATATCCTTGCCCATCTTAAGCAACAAGATTCTGCAATCCAATACTGTAAAAGAATAATCTCTAGGACTACTAATCAACCAACACATTTCATAAGGCTAATTACCAAAAATTCCATTTTAAACGAAAAGCTGCTTAATGAAGGTTTGTTTTTTAAATGCAGACATTACGCAATCTATCCAAGTTCTCCCCCAACTCCAGCCCCACTGCCCTGCTCCAAATGCTCACTATTTACCCACACAACAGACAAATGTTCCACCCCCATAAAGTGTCTGAAATGCAGTGAAAATCATCCCACCTTGAAATGCACCTCTGAGCTGCCCCCTAAATGCTTGAGCTGTAATTCAACTGAGCACCAAGCTTGGTCCTTTCAATGCCCCAACCGTCCCACCAAACCTATTGAAGGTATACCTAATCTTCCGGTTAAATCTTTAAATAAAAAATCATCAATGGTAGACAACGCAAAAAAAGAAGCCCGAGTTCATTCCCACATCACCATTCATGACCACATTGTTAATACATTTCTTAGAAAGTTAAACAAATCAAGCGCCACACCTCGCGAAGACATTATCCATAAACTTAAACAAAGATTTGTCAAAGAATTTAACATCGAAACCACAATAAGCTTTGTAGGTAATAACTGGATTTACATCCTAATGTTTGATCTCGATATTGATGACCATAGCTCTCCCACTGAAGTAATCCCTGGAAAAAATAATGGACAAGCTCGAGCTCAACTGTAACCTTTTATACTCCAACATAAACAATTTCATGTCTAAAAAACACCTCACACTTCACACCATCGAGAAATATGACATAAGCGCCGCCTTATTCGTGGAAACCAAAACCAAGGAGAGCGACAATACCAATTTTAGGAACTGGAACATTCTTCGGCAAAACGGAAACACTCTTAATCGCAATACAAGAGGAGGATCCTTGGCTCTTATTCACCCTTCACTAAAAATGCGAAAACAAAACTCTCCTCGCATCAACAATCCTTGGAATAATTGCTTACATTTCTCAATTCCTTTTAAAGAAGACCACCTTCACATATTTCTTGTCTACATCCACCACTCATCTCTCATAGAACAGTCCATATTTATCATGGCTTCCACTAAAAAGTATGCTCTTATAATTGGAGACTTTAACCTAAGTAGTGCCAACAGATGCAAACAACTCAAAGCCTTCCTAAATAGTTCCAACTTTTCCCAATTTGAGACCCCACCCACGTTTTTAATGGATAACAATAATGATTCCACCCCTGATATACTATTATACACTAAAAATTTAACAAACAACATCACTGGAATCGACTTGTTGCCCGACTTAGGTTCAGACCATTTATCAATGCTAATAAAAATGAATCTGGAGGCCCCCATCGTTACTGAAAACAACATAGTAAAACTAAACTTCAACAAAAGCAAAATTGAACACATTAACAGCGAACTTTTGAGACATACCAACCAAATGAACCACACTTCAATAAGCAACAACAGTATTAATACCTTCAACAACTGTCTTTCTAATTCAATTCAAAAATTTACGCCTACCTATTCTCAATCTTTTTTTCATCACAATCTTCCACCACATATTATTAACCTTATTAAAAACAAAAGAAAAATATACAGGCAGTATCAACTACACCCTGATCCTGCCCAGAAGAAACACATCAACGAATTGTCAAAGTCTATTAAACAAGCTATTACAGTCTTCAAAAACAGCCAATGGATTGCAGCTTGCGAAACAATCAACAGCAAACGGGGAAAAAGTTTTTATTCTGAAATTAAAAAGTTAAGCAGATACAAAACACCACATCAAATACCAACAATCATTGATAATGACGAGGAACACAATACAGACCTTGATAAAGCTCGAATATTTGCGACACACTTAAATCACCAATATCAAGCTCAGGATAACCCACAATTTAACCAACAAAACTTTGACACAACAATACAGTGGTATAACTCCTACTTTGACTCCGAAAACGACTTTGACCCTCAAACAATTGACGAGGAAGATTATTTCAATATACTTTCCAATCAGAAAAATTCCACCCCTGGAGACGATAACATCCCTTGGACTATAATTAAGAAACTACATTACAACGTTCATTTATACATAATTAAACTTTTTGAAAGCTGTCTCAATAACCATTACTTTCCACCCATATGGAAAACAGGAAAAGTAATTATGATACCCAAACCCAACACTGATCACAGCAATGCAGATAACTATCGCCCAATTACCCTCCTACCGTGTTTGGGAAAACTCCTGGAAAAAATTATACTACACAAAATCAATACCCAAGTCGCTGACAAGATCCCCAATTATCAATTTGGCTTCAGAAGCTCCAGATCCACTGCACATCCTCTTACCGCGGTCATATCCAATATACAAACTGCGAGGCTAAATAATCTTTCTTCTGCGGCTTTGTTCTTGGACATCAAAAGAGCATTTGACTCGGTTTGGCATAAAGGACTTATTTACAAACTTAAGAAGATCGGAATTCCTAATTCCCTCATCTACCTTATCAATAGCTATCTTGAAAACAGACCACTCTATGTTTGCATTAATGGGCAAAAATCTCCTACACTCATTGCGGAACAGGGAGTTCCCCAAGGCTCTCCGCTGTCGCCACTGCTATATAACATTTATTGTTATGACATGCAGCATGAACACAACCAAATTTTTTCACCAAGTGAAGCAAACTACATTTTACAATATGCAGATGACACGGCACTCTTTGTGCATCAAAAATCACCACAGCTTGCCCTTGAAAGGTTAAAAACGCTTTTCCTTACCATTAATAAATGGCTTAAGGATTGGAGACTCTGCATTAATGCTAACAAATCCAAATTTATTATTTTTCATCGAAACAACCTTAACAATCTTCAACTTACTATCAATAACCAAATACTTGAGCCAGTTCAATCAGTTAAATACCTTGGAGTACTGATTGACAACAAAATAAACCTGAAGGAACATGCCAACTCTTCCAAAAAGAAATGTATCTCCAGAGCCAGCCAGTTTAGATGTCTTACCTACAAGAATAATGGCATTAATCTCAAAACGGCAGCAATAATTTATAAATCCATCTGCCGTCCCATCCTTGAATATGCTCCCTCCCTGTTTTTAAATTCCCGAAAATCTACCTTAAAAATCCTGAATGTGGCTGAGACTTCTGCAATGAGAAAAATTACCAAAATGAGGCACCCAGGAAATCCACTCCACAACCCTCCCAACACCCTCCTTTATGAAAAATTTAAAATCAGCCCAATTTCTGCGAGATTAATAAAACTATCCACCAACTTTGCCCAGAGAGAAGCCGCTTACCAGTTTCTGGCACCAGTACTGATTCCAAGAGACCTAGAGAGAGCTCCCACCCGAATTAAACATCCTACAAGATCCCTGGTTGAGGAAATGCAAGCTCTAGCTGACGAATGAACACATATACATATATATATCTAATTTATTCTTTACATACACAATACGATGTACTTTTTTTTTTTTTTGCACTCTATCTAATATCAATTTCGGTTTCTAACACATGCAAATACATTACATTTATATTTTAATTAACCTTGGCTGAAGGACCTAGGTCAATGGCCTTTTGATTGTTGTTATTTTTATAATTATGATGATCAATAAATAACTATTATTATTATTATTATTAACATCAATCTTAAATATGGAGTAATTTTTCAAAATTTTGAGTAAAATGTAGAACATATTACATTTTTTATTACTGAAAATTTTGACCGAGACTAAAAAATCTGATTTCTTATTATTTGGTAGTTTCCACATAAGAAACCAATAGCAATGTAAAACTTCTACACTAATAGAAAAAATTAAAGGATAAAAAAAATTCCAATTTTTTTGCGATTTTTCGGATAGCTGTATATACATATGTATCTTCGTTAAAAATGGTCGTATTGGACCCGTAAAAAAAGCAATTTGAAGCTTGAAGTTTCTAGTTTTGAGATTTTTAAATGAAAAACGTGCAACGCTCAATCCTAACGAATACCGTAATAAAAAATGTTGGCTTTCTTTTTTGATCCACGGAATGCTCCGACTTAACCACCAATAATAACATAATAATAAATGTTCTACAAGAATTTGCTATAGTTTTTTTGAAAAAAAAAATTCCATACTCTACATGAATTTGAAAAATCATGGAAAAAGTGCTTTTGAAAAATCAAGCGCTAAATCAAAAATATTATAGGTAGTTACTTTTTTAGGACCAAATCAAAACAAGCGCGGCCCCTATTGGTCAATTCAGTGGTGGTGGCGCGTGCATAGCGCGAGACTGTATTTACATTTACTTACATTACTGTCATTTAGTGGCTAATTATAGTCCATGAACTGGACTGGAAACATAAAAAATTAGGCAAATGGGACTAATCTTGAAAAAAAACTAAAATATGAAAAAAAATATTTGAAAAAAAAACAATGGAAAAAAACAAAAAAAAAATGGACGTTGTTTTTCAAGTCGCATCTCTAGCCATGACCCGTTTCATTGAGCATTTAGATAAAACTCATTGGTTGAGGATAACCATGTCAATAAAAAGTTTATTATTATTTCAATTCATATTTTTTACTGCAGTGAAATCTTGCGACTCTTACTTTTTGACTAACTGTTTTACATCCTGTTTTTAAGAACATGTTTTTTAACGTTGTGTAATGTGAAATAAATGTTTAATTCATTTACACTTGTTTATTTATTAATAAAACCACATGTAGGTAGTTTTAGTCTGATTTAATATAAAAAAAATTTTAACAATTAGGTAAGTATAAAAGTTAATTACAACAAAATAATCTTCAATAAAAAGTTTGTGCTTATTACAATTCAGTTTTTTTACTGCGGTAAAATCTTGCGACTGTTACACTTACTTTTTGACTAACTCTTTTACAGCCTGTTTTTGAGAACAGATTTAGATCTTTTGGACCCCAGTCCATACTTTCCATTATCTCACTAAAAATATGTAAATTAAACTCTAAATAATTTATTTTTATAATATAGGACATACTTTATGTGATCCTGTTGTGGTTCATAAATGCCTCTTTGAATAAATTCATCTTTAATGCATAACATAACATGTGATTTTTCCATTGGTAAAAAAGGAATATAATGATCAATGAGATTACTTTTAATTGTGTCTGACTGATGAAATCCTCCTAAAACCCATCATTAGTTGACATTTATCTAATTACTATGAAAATAGTTGCCTTGTTCATTAAAAGCTCCCTTCATAATTAAATTTTCAAAATCTTTTAGTTTAAGGTCTTCTCTTTTCTTGCCATTTTCCCAAAAGTTTATATACAATTCGTTGATTAAACTTTGTCCTGTATTAGAGAGAAAAATAAAAATTGTTTGTCTATAATCTACTCCTTCGACAAAATCTTTATAATCAATTATAGGCTTTATTGCATTCAGCAGCTGAGCAGGCATTTTGTCCACTTCATCAAATATAAAAAGCTGCTTGGGACAGTTGGAGGTGTTTCCTTTTATCCAATTGTACAAATCATGCTAAAAGTAATTTCCACATAAATAAAGAATAATTCAATATTTAAGCTTAAGCTATAAATATGGGGTAGAATAATGATAAATTTTAAAAACTTGTTTGAGTAACTATATATTTTTTAAATACTTGTGTCCTTCGATAAAGGTAAACAAAATATTTCCCTGCTGGTTTTTAAACTTCTTAAACCATAAAAACTGTTAATTTTAATATTCAATGGTTTTCTTTAGAATTGGGACTTTTTAGAGGAAAGAAAAAATTATCTTATTTCTTAAAAACAACAAAACTTGATGTTGGAGTATTGGATTTTAAAAATTTTGCCCAAGGCAAAACAAAACGTTTTTTAGACGCTTTTGCCATTAAAACAACCAGTCTGTAATGTTTGAAAAACAAGAAGTATATTGTATTTTTACGCTAAAGTGCCAAGTAGAAGATTAAATATAGGTACTTAAATATATGTACTTGTTTTTAATCTTTGAGAAAAGAATATTTCGTCATATCCCTGCCAAAAGTCACTAACTTACATTTTATTATTGAGCTTTAAGATAAAATAAATAAGCAAATAAATATATTACATCAGTTTATAAACTATAGTGATTTTTAACCATGCAAAAACGACCACTTCTAATATTCTAGGCATCTTGTGGCTAGAGATGTAAAAAACGGTTTTTTTTCAGATGTGAAAAAAACATGAAAAAAAAACCTAGAAAAAAACGGTATTTTTTTTTCAAAATGAAATTTTGAGTAAAATGTATATTAAGTAATAATAAAGTGAAATATAGAATATATTACATTTTTCATTATTGAAAATTTTGACCAAGACTAAAAATCTGATTTCTTATTATTTGGTAGTTTTCACATTAGAAACCAATAGCAATGTAAAACTTCTAAATAAATAAATAAATAAATATCTTTATTGACGGATTAACCATTACACTACACTAATACAAAAAATTAAAGGATAAAAAAATTTGTTTGCGATTTTTCGGATATCTTTGTTAAAAATGATCGTATTGGAGCCGTAAAAAAGCAATTTAAAGCTTAAAGTTTATAGTTTTGAGATTTTTAGATGAAAAACGTTTAACGCTTAATCCTAACAAATACCGTAATAAAACTGAATAAATGTTCTACAAGAATTGGCTATTGTATTTTTGAAAAAAAAAATTCCATACTCTAGATGAATTTAAAAAATCATAAAAAAAGTACTTTTGGTAGCTTTTTGAAAAATCACGCGCTGAATCAAAAATATTATCTTTAGTTACTTTTTTAGGACCAAATCAAAACAAGCGCGGCCCTTATTGGTCAAATCGGTGGTTGTGGCGCGTGCATAGCGCGAGACTGTATTTATATTTACTAATTGTCATTTAGTGGCTAATTTTAGTCCATGGAAACATAAAAAATTAGGCAAATGGGACTAATCTTGAAAAAAACCTAAAATGTGAAAAAAAAACATTTGAAAAAACACCTGAAAAAAAACAAAAAAACGGACCGTTTTTTTTCAAGTCGTATCTCTACTTGTGGCTTTTAAATATTAAAGATATGATAAATTTGTAAACATTTTATCAAAATATCAGTTAGTGACTTTTGGCAGGAATATGACGATTTTATCTTTAGGCAAGTGCTGAGTGAATCAGAACATGGCAAAAGAGACACAGTTCAAGCATTATTTGGGTTTTGCTACAAATGCAGAGAAATTATGCTCAAACAATGCATCCTCACTCTTGCATGTACTTCGCACTCAGCACTGTATACCACTAGCGTGAAAATACGGTATACCCTTATTTGTAAATATTAATGATATTTTATACAATAAAATTTAAAGAAACAATTTTATATGTAATTAAATGTAATGTTTTCCAATTTTTTTATCATTGGTTTAGTTTGTAGACCTAAAAAACGCGTAGTTTAAAAAAGATTTTTCTATGCAAATTAATAGTGATAGAAACTTAAGTAATTAATGATATAGGTATATACACTGCCCATCAAAATTAGCTCATAATAAGTAAAAAAATTCTAACTCTAAAACGCCTTTACCAATCTTTATGAAATTTTCTATAAAAATACTTCAACTTATATCTCAGTTTACGTGTTCAAGGGTTTTTTCGAAAAATTATCCTTAAAGCCCTTTTATTTAATAATAAAAATCGCTCGAAGAAAAACTTTTATTGGGAAATTTTTTTTAGTAATTAAAAACTATATTGTGAAAGACCGTATTTATGTTAGGATATATCCTGTTCGTTTAGGATATATCCTGTTCGTTTGATTTTTACAAAATTTTCAGGGTATACCCTGAAAATTTTGTAAAAATCAAACGAACAGTATCGAAAATGCAGCGCTTCAAAGTCGTCAAAAATGACCATTTTTCAGCAATATAATCAAAAAGGGGTAATTTTTACCGACTTTGAAGAACTGTATCTTCGTTACTGTTCGTTTGATTTATACAAAATTTTCAGGGTATACTAACAAAAATCCGGTCTTTAACAGCATATTTTTTATTTAGTTAAAAAAAAATCCCTAAAAGTTATTTTTTGAACGTTTTTTTATTATTAAATAAAAGGGCTTTAAAAATATTTTCTCGAAAAACCCTCGAACACGTAAACTGAGATATAAATTGAAGTATTCTTATACAAAATTTCATAAAGATTGGAAAAGGCGTTTTAGAGTTAGAATTTTTTTACTTATTATGCGTTAATTTTGACGGGCAGTGTATCTCTGGTTTGTTCCTTGGTATACCAAGCATTTTTGCCAAGGTCCTATCTACAATATTTAGTTATAAAGTCCAAAATATCATTCATACACAACTTTTGTAAATATGGGACCTTTCAGCTTAGCACGGAAGATTTTGACAATTGAATGGACACACAATTTTACTAATGTGCTTGTCCCTGATGTCCATTTAACACTGTCACTGTCACTGCCTATTTATACATATAAAGAAAAGTGTTTATTTGTACCTTGTACTGTTCAATATGATCATCTCTAGGAAAATGCAGCCTGCCAATAAAGTTGTGGACAAATCTACTTTTTATTCCATTTGCAAACAAATTCTCAGCTATAAATTTTGAAACATAATTTTTACCACCTCCTGGCCAACCATGAAAACTTAATGTTAATGCTTTTTTTGCTCTAAAATCCTTATTCCAGTGTGGTCGTAAAGCATCAACAGCTATGTGAACTAAATGTTGACCATAAACTTTTTTATTTAGGGTCTTTTCTAAACCTAAAAGTAAATGTTTTGATAATTTGTTCTTATGGTATGTCAGTGGAGTAGATATATTTTGTACTTTGAAAACAAAGCAGGACTGAAAACACCTGTTAATGCTACACTAAGAATATGTGAGGACACAAAGACTTACCATCAAAATTTGCTGGAATATAATTATCATAACAACATTCTTTTGCAGAACAGATCGCAAATTCTACAATATCACGAACTCCACCGGTGTAAGTATCCAGAGAAAATATAGATTGAAATCTAAATGAATAAGCTTGTACGAATAAAGCCAATTTTAAAAGAACATAGAGCCAATTCATTGTTTAAGTCTTAAAAATAGTTGCTTGGGTGGACATTTACGAATTTAAAATTTAAACGATTAAAAACCAGTTTTATATCCATTTAAACTCGAAAATACTTTTTTGACACATTGTAAGTAAAACCTAACCTAATAGTTCAAATAGTTTATGCAAATGAGATTTTTTTAATTTAATAAAATTAAAGAATGAAATTTAAAATTACAAATAAATATACCACAAACAGTTTTAAATATTTTTTTATCTTACTTGCTATAAATAAATGACATAAATAACAAACACCGCGGGATGATTTTTGACAACAGATGTCATAATTAAAAATACCGGGGTTGCCAGATTCATATAACAAATATGAGATTGGAAGAAGCCATAGAAATAATACTATAGGAAATACAAAAAGTTTAATTTATTAATTAATATGTATGCACATTGGAATTTCTAGTAGAAACTTTCTACATGACAAAACTAAAACAAACAAACCAACCAACCCATCCCACCCATTTTTAAAATAAGAATCATTGAGTAGTCTTTACTCAATGATAAGAATATTTGTATGCTTGTAAAAAAACTTTTTCTACTTTTTTTACAGTCTTAAAATTTGACTTCTTTATGATCATGAATCGATTCATAAATAAATTATGAATGCAAAACAAAGTATCTATATTCAGATTTGTATTAAGGAATAGGTAAATTTGAGTTTAAAAATTTTACTTTTATAAATGTTTTAAATTTGTTTTTGCAGGATTAAAAAAAATATTATCTAGTATATTTTAGGACCAAATTTAAATTGGTTTTTATAGTATATTATAATATAACAAAGTATAGTATTTTTTTTAATAGCGGGGGTGTTAACTAACAGAAAAAAACACCCTGTATAAACTATGAGTAGTTACAAATACTAGGTAACATTGTGCCTACTTTTGACGCATGCGCGTCTGACCATAATTTATTGAAGTGGGTGACGTCATAATTAAAAATAGTTCGGCTTCATGTTTGTTAGACAGAGTTGTACATTTTCGTTGATGATTTTACCGATAAATAAGTAAATGTTTGTTTTGTGAAGTGAATTTTTAGTTATTTTGTGGGTAAGTTGTGTTTTTAAGTTGATATAAGTTTATTTTGTTTTTAATTTAATTGTTAAGTTTGCCATAGGAGTTACCACACCCCAAATGTGTATACATTTTCTATGGGTAATTTATGTACATACTGTATTTCTAATGGAAATTAAGAAAGTTACAGGCCATAATTTTTTTTAACTATTATCACATTGTACCTTTGGGCACCCTTAAAAATATATTTCCAAATTTGGTAAAGGAATTAACCAATAATTTAACTTATAATATTTATCTTATCTCTTGTAAATAATGTGATGTGTAGGTATTTTTAAAAGTGTATTCAATAGGTTGATAGACATTAAATTTAAAAAAATATATCCTTTACTGCAGTCAATCAATTGTACTTTGCAGATGTTTTTCTAGGTCAATAAAAGACTTGTTGATTACTTTATTGACCGGTTGTAGTTCATCACACCCAAGTTATGTCATCACAGGATAATTTAATTTAATTGATTTTACACCCAAAAGTTTTAATAATAATAATCTTTGTTTCGTAAATTATTATTATAATAATAATTATTAAACAAATGAGTTAGGTCTTTAGAAGGCACTAGGGCACATTGATTTTAAGATCCTTTGTGGCAACTCCTACATATTTATATCTATATGTAACTCTAGAGTTACTTCAGGGACCAATGTTTTTGCATTATTTTTTAATATTGGGAGGTGGGAGTTGCCTTATCAAACCATTTTACCCTTTTCTTTCACTTTATCAAGTACAGAATTCTCATGTTTTTAACAGATTCTGCAGGAATGATTATCCAGCTTTCCCATAATGAAAATCCCATTCTTTTTAGATGTGTGTGGTGGGATTAATTGATTTCAACTGTTTTAAGTCTTATCAATAAAGGAGGAAAATAATGTTGCTTTTTGCCTGGTTTTTAGATTATATGACAAGTTAAAAAATATATCTTTATTTTTCTTGCCAAGTTTACAGCAATCCATGCAACAAACACTATAGTTAGGTACTTAAAAATGTGTTTGCTGTTTGTTATTTTTGTAGCATTAACTCACTCATAACCTTCCATACAAAACATTTGTAGCAATCAGATGGATATTTCTTGCTCAGGTAATGTTATTTCTCACAGTGAAATGTGTTCAAAATCTTTAAATGCTTATTTCTCAGTTCAACAGAAAATTAGTTACTATAGTCTTCATTGCATGGATTGAGATATCTTAATATATCCTTAGAAATGTTTATTTTACATGGAATTTCCTGGTTTAATGTTTATGTACTCATGTTGAGATTCCCCTCCATTTAAAAATAGAACAAATGTGTTCACCCAAAGGGAACACCTGAAAAGGATTTCCTGTGTGTATATGTAGTCCAGTAATTATGGTTTTATATAGCAAAAAACAATTATTTTTTTGTAAAATTATTTTATCACAAATTACCTACGTTTAGGTAATCAGGATCATAAGAATTTTATTTAAAAAAACGGCAGTTAGTGGCTGTGCTAACTACCATTGGGCCACTTAAATTTTTTATCTATAAATAAAAAATAAGTTCAAGGGTTAAAATGTTGCATTTAAAAGCAAATAAAAGTATTACTGTTTAAATTTAGCTTGATTACCTACATCTGACTCATCTCTAATAAAATTTAAAGGTCAAATAGTTTATCATTAAATAAACCAACTACATAAATAGGTACTGCTAAAAACTGTATATGGCTTTTTTAACACATGTTTGCTTAATAAATAACGCTAGTTTACAAATTTTTAGTTCATCGCGTGAACCTAAAAAAAGTTTTTTTATGCTAACTTTGGGCCTCTGAAAAAAGAAAAGTATTTTTTTTTCAAAGAAACGTTATTTAGATCCAATCTGAAGACGTGTTTTATAGATCTTCTCTCAATTACTCGCAGAAATCTCGAGAAAGGCTCATCAAACTAACATTAATTGTATATCGTTCGAAAGGTATGTTATTCTTCTTTCCGACGATATACTGTTTGTACCAATCGGATTAAAATGTTTCGAGTTGCAAGTAATAAAAGTCGAAAAAATGTGGATTTTCTAACGTTTTTTAAAAATCACTCATATGTACAGGATGATCCCCTATAATTTCGCCCCCCTTTAACTTTTTTATTTTAAGTTTCCCAAAAAATTTAAAAGTGTGGTTATGTAGGTACTGAAAAATACTTCTTTTCTACGTATAAAAAAATGGAAAATTGATCAATATACAGGGAAAAACAAAAAGTTTATTTTTTTTCAATGGATCACCCTATATATGTATTTATTTTTCGATTCCTTGTAAAATTCTAAGCATATTTCATTTAACATACCATATACCTAAATTCAACCGTTCTGAAATATTTAAATTATTTTTAAGATAATAATTTGAAATAGTTTGTCTTTCTCTGTCTGAGAACGCCATTTTTACTTATTTAACAAGACATTTTGACATAATGTCACTATAGTAATTTATTTTCAATAAAAATTTTGGTATACTGAGGGCCGGTTTATCAATATCCAGTTAAAGTTGCAGTTATTTATCTGGTAGATAATTTCCATGGTTACCATTGTTCTCACAACGATCCATATGGAATTTAACTGTCAGATAGACTAACTGGAACTTAACTAGAGATTGATAAACCGGCCCTGAGGCTTCTTGATTTCTAACAGTTTAAAAAAAACATTTAATGATAACATTTCGAATGCGAATATTTCAGAAACAGTTGAATTTAGGATATGGTTTGTTATATGAATTATGCTCAGAATTTTACGAGGAATCGAAAAATAAATTCATATATAGGGTGATCCATTGAAAAAAAATATTCTTTTTGTTTTTCCCTGTATATTGATCAATTTTCCATTTTTTTATACGTATACCTACATAACCACACTTTTAAATTTTTTGTGACACTTAAAATAAAAAAGTTAAAGGGGGGCGATATTATAGGGGATCACCCTGTACAGTGTTGGCCATAATTTTTGGAACCACTGTAAAACAAATGTAACTCTAAAACGCCTTTAATATTCTTTATGAAATTTTGGATAAAAATACTTTAACTTATACATATCTCAGTTTACGTGTTCGAGGGTTTTTCGAGAAAATATTTTTAAAGCCTTTTTATTTAATAAAGAAAAAACGTTCGAAAAATAACTTCTAGGGTAATTTTTTTTAAATAAATAAAAACTATGCTGTTAAAGACGGTAAAAATGGCCCCTTTTTGATTATTTTGCTGAAAGATTGACAGTTTTTTTTTCGTATTTCCAATAGTTATAACTGGCTGAAGGACCATTGTGCCTCTATAGAGGCAAAAACTTTTTTTTTGTCGCACATTATAATTTGGAATATTTTCTTTCAAAATTCAAATCAAATTCAAATATAATCCGAAAAGAAGATATTTATTTTTTTACCCTCAGCAGTGTCGGCTGGTGGATTTTGGGTATACCAATATTTCAGTTATTAGACATGGGACCCACATCAAATTTATAATAGTTTATAATGAGATTAAAAAGACAAGTTAGGCGCAAACAGAATTTAAATTGAAGTTTGCGAAAAAAGTTAGTTTTTCCTGTCGCCTCACCTTAATAAAATAAATAAAAAAAATTTAAAATCAAATAAAATCTGTAATATTTGGATTTTTTAAATAAAATTTTAAATTTGTCGATAAATTATAGTAGATAATAAATAATAAAAATAAATAATAAAAATTTAAAATCGAATAAAATCTGTAATATTTGGATTTTTTAAATAAAATTTTAAATTTGTCGATAAATTATAGTAGATAATAAATTGCACCACTTTAATTTGAATTATCTCAAATAGGGGGCCTGGAGGCGGGTGAGGAGACAGGAAAAACTTTTTTTCGCAAACTTCCATTTTAAATTCTGTTTGCGCCGAACTTGTTTATTTAATGTCATTATTAGGGATAGAACGATACCGATATTGATATCGGTATATCGGCATATCGGCAATTGTTTCCGATTATCGGTATCGTATCGTATCGGCAAGATAATTGCCGATATATCGGCAAAAAAAAATTGCGCTTTTCACTCTTCAGTACATAAATGAAATACTTTATTAAACAAAATAAAAAATTTTATTCTAAAGGTAACATTCTTACTAAAAAAGTAAAACAAATCCTCACCACTTACACCACTTACAACAAATATACCTAATGTAGCAGATACTAAATTAAATACAGTATATACTTAATACTTAAAATTTAATATTTTTATTTATTATTTATTTTATCTCCTCTAATTAACAGTCAAGTTTAAAACGCTGTGTTTTAAAGCACTACAAAATACAGACTGTATAGAATCAAGTAAGTAAGGCTGGAGATAAGGATGACAAATTATATTCTGATCAGAGAAAAGGAAACAAACTTTAATTGGGCGTGGTTTAAACCAAGCCATTCGTAATTACGAACCATAGTTGCCAGGTTGTTTTAAATCAGAAGAGAACGATTATAATTATTTAATAAATAGTTCAATTTTAATTGTTTGAAACTTTAAAAATAACAAAAAAAATAATAATATGTCAAAAATAATTTAATTTAGTTAATTTTCTTACTTTTAATATTAAAAAATAAGAAAAACAACCCTTTTAGGAAACAATAATAGCATATGGCAACAGCGCGGCATGCAGTTTGTTCAGTAGTTCCGACGCTGTCGTAGGGAAATGTGTATAGTTTTTAAGAAATACATTTTTGCCATTAACTGGAATTTAATGGATTTTAAACAATACTTAGTTTTTATTTGCAGAAATGCATTAAAACAAAACAAACGAATTCGATAAAAATAAAACCTCTAAATTCTCAATCCCTACCACAGTGGGCGGGGTTTGGCACTTGTTTTATTTAAGTGTATTTATTTGTTTTACTACACACTGTATAAGGGGCTTCCCAAAAATCCGAAATGTCACTCACTACCAATCACAAACGTTTCCTCGCAAAGGAATTAAAACGGGACTTCCCCGATTTTTGCTTCGGTCGTGTATAAATAGATGGCATTATGTTTGCCGATACGATATATCGGTATATCGGCAAGTAAATATCGGTATCGGCCGATATATCGTATCGGCAAAAAAAAGTGATATCGTTCTATCCCTAGTCATTATAAACTATTATAAATTTGGTGTGGGCCCCATGTCTAATAACTAAGATATTGGTATAAATAAAATCCACCAGCCGCCACTGACCCTCAGTATCGTTTGTCATGGAATGACCCTTATGTTAAAACAAAAAAGGTGATAATTTGAAAACAAGCTATAATGAAATGTATTTAAAAAAAATGTTAATCTTGATGAGATCTACAACCTTTATTATTACATTGTCCATTTTAAGTAGAATTACCCTGTATAGGCAAATATTTGATTTTAAAATAAAATCTAGTTAAAACTTTTTACTTTTCGTTAATTTTGGGTTGAAGTTAATTTTGTTTAACAATATTTTTATTTGGTTTTCAGGGCTCCCACACCTCCTAAAACTCATAAAATTCCTAAAATTTGGCTTAAATCTTGAAAACTCCTAAAATTGCTATCAATCTCCTAAAACTCCTAAAAATTAAATATAAATAGGCCAACCTGACTGCGTTTAATTAAGGTAGTTGTCGTACTAAAAAATTTCTTTTTTAAAAATATGTCTTTTTAGATTCTAGTTTATTAAATTCTTTTTAAAATGATATAATATCATGATGTGCACAACCAACATTTTTCTTAAAAAAACAACAAAACCTAAGTAATAGCTCTTGGACTTCTACAAAATTGTCATTTTTAGACTTATCTCGTTTGTTTGAGACAAAAATATACCGTGTTATATATAACAAACAAAAGGATTTTTAATTTTCTTTTAAATACAAAAAAAAACAGCTAAAATATTATACAATGTAAATAATGTTTTCCTGTATATTGCAAACTCCATATATTATCTATTATGAGATTTTTGAGTATTAAGAATCTTAATTTAAGATCCACATTATAATAATTGTTAGGTATAATTACACAGTGCAACAGTGCAAAAGGGAATGGGATGAAACCAAAAGCAAATGAAAGGTAATAGCTTCTACAAAAAAACCCTATGAGGTTTATTTTAGATCACGACTCAGTTTTTTATTATACGCGTTTAAAGTTGGTAGATTTTTGGACACCCTATAATAGGAAAAAAATAAGTAAAACAATTTTAATTTTTTTTATGCACGATGACATTATAATATGACAATTATAACAAAAATTCTTTGACGTAAACGTCTTTTTATAGCCCGCGGGCGTTATTATGGCCCAGCGGGCTATAATGAAACGTCAAAAATTAAAAACAACAATGTTACACCATTTGATATATTCGAAGTAAGTTTTTTCGTATAAAGATTTTGATTTTACCGGCAGCAGGCCGCAATTTTTCGCCTTTTCAGCTGCTTCCTCAATTTCATTTATCTTTAAACTTTAAAACTGACTGATGTCAGTTGACATTATAATATGACAATTATAACAAAAATTCTTTGACGTAAACGTCTTCAAAAACAATAATATATTAAAAATAATAATATATTAATCGTGCATAAAGTTTTGTATGCATTGCTGGCATAACTGGTTTTTATGGTCCTACGACGCTTTTCTAGCCCTCGCGCTAACGCGCTCGGGCTCGAAATAGCGCCTCGGACCATAAAAACCTTATTATGCCCTTAATACATAAATAACTATTAAATTATTCTGGCAATATAGTCGAGGAATCCATTCCAAGTAAAGAGCATTTTTACTAGAAAATTGGGCATTTTTATAAAAAAAAATATTCTCTTTAATGCTTTAATCAAAACACAATACTTGGATACAAAAACTAAATTTTTTGTGGTAATATATTGTAATATATCGATGGTATTTTTGCAAAAGGGCGAATATGCCATTTTCCTGTTTTGATAAAAACAAAAAAAAAGTATTTCGGCGTATTCGCCCTTTTGAAAAAATATTACTACAAAAAATTGCAGTTTTTGTAGCAAAAACGATACCACCTTGTTTAAAGGTAAAATTGATTTGTTTACTTAAAAACACATAATATTATGTTCTATATAGTAAATCAGTGACAGCAACATAAAACGTTTTTCTTAATTAATATATTTAATTAAATTATTTTTTTTTATTTAAAGGACAATATAATATAAAACAAAACTTAGTTCCAAAATATAAAAATGTAAAAAATTGTACCTACAATATTACGGTATACATATAATTGAATATGTTGAAAAGTTTGCAGAACTTGTAATAACAATTTAATTAAATGATCACAAAAGAAAAGAAGTCAATGAAATTTGGTGTTCCAATGTTGTGGTATAATTCAGGTATTTTTTTTATTTTTATACTAAAACATGGTATTTTTGAATATATTAATTATATTTTGCATTTTTATCAATTTTTGGATGAACAGCTGGAACTGTGTTACTTCCGGTTACAACAGTGATAGTTTTTAAATAAAAATAAAATAGCGAATTTAATAATGTTTAGTTAAGAAGTAAAAATGCTATTTTTTCTTAAAAAAAGTTTTCTATACTGATAAATCCAAAATATTAAAAATTGCTTTCGAATATCACCTAGGGTATATTTTACAACAAACGGATGACAAAAATGGATTTCTTACCTTCAAAAATAGTAAAAATTAGTAACAATTTTTTGATAGCGTCCTCTTCTGAGGGTCTTTGGTAAAAATTAACATCACAAATGGATTCCTCGATCAAATTGACAAAATTATTTTGAATAATTAACATAGTTTTACTTATGTTTTTCCTATAGGGTGTCAAAAAATTTACTATCTTTAAATGCGTACAAAAAAAAACTGAGACGTGATATAAAAAAACTCTGATAGGGTTTTCTTATGGAAAGTATTAACTTTCATTTGCTTTTGGTTTTATTCCATTCCCTTTCGCAAACCTTAATTTTGTATCACAGTGTTATGTTAACTAAACGGTTAAGATTTTTCTTAAAATATAAAATTTATTTAACCTAACATCATTTGATTTTGGCCTAGGTTTTTAGCCAAATCTATCGACGCGTTTTTTTAAATAAAATTAAGATATACAAAAGTAGTAATTTTACCTCACTTTTAATTTTATTACAAAAATACCCGTCGAGCGATTTGGCTAAAAAACTCAACATTTTACTTATTTGTACAAAAGAATTGATATTTAAATTTTTCTTAGAAAGAATTATATATTTTTTTCTTATTTTTTAACTATAGTGTAGAGTTGTTTTTATTTAATTAAAGAAATCCATTTACTTTATTTATCCTAAAATTTTACAAAAAATCTCCTAAATTCCTAAATAAAATTTCTAAATTAGCTGTGGGAGCCCTGGGTTTTGTACCGTATGTATTTTGAAATCCTCTTTTGTCAATTTCAGAGTGAACATGGATCAGATCCCTCCCCCGAAGGAGGTGAAAATCCTCGAAACCGCTGAAGACATCCAAGAGCGTCGTCAGCAGGTTTTGACCCGTTACGACAACTTCAAAGCAGACGCGCGCGCGAAACGCGAGAAACTCGAAGACTCGCGTCGATTCCAGTACTTCAAGCGCGATGCCGACGAACTGGAATCGTGGATCCAGGAAAAACTGCAGGCCGCGTCCGACGAGAACTACAAGGACCCGACGAATTTGCAGGCCAAGATCCAAAAGCACCAGGCGTTCGAGGCCGAGGTGGCCGCGCACAGCAACGCCATAGTCGTGCTGGACAACCAGGGCAAAGAGATGATCAACCAGAACCACTACGAGTCCGAGACGATCAGGAGACGCTTGGAGGAGTTGCACCGTTTGTGGGAGCTGCTGCTCTCCAAGCTGGCGGAGAAGGGGCAGAAGTTGCAGCAAGCCCTCGTGCTCGTGCAGTTCCTTCGTCATTGCGACGAAGTCATGTTCTGGATCAACGAGAAGAGCGCCTTCCTCACCACCGAGGAGTTCGGTCACGATTTGGAGCACGTCGAGGTGCTCCAAAGGAAATTCGACGAGTTCCAGAAAGACATGGGCTCGCAGGAGTACAGAGTCACCGAGGTCAACGAGCTGGCCGACAGGTTGTTGCAGGATGGACATCCGGAAAGAGACACGATCCAAAATAGGAAGGAAGAGTTGAATAACGCGTGGCAAAGGCTTAGACAGTCCAGCTTGTTGCGTCAGGATAAGCTGTACGGAGCTCACGAGATACAGAGGTTCAATCGGGATGCCGACGAAACCGTCGCCTGGATATCGGAAAAAGACGTCGTCTTATCGTCGGACGATTACGGAAGAGACTTGGCGAGCGTGCAGGCCTTGCAGAGGAAACACGAAGGCGTAGAGAGAGATTTGGCGGCGTTGGAAGACAAAGTGTTGAATTTGGCCAAGGAAGCCGACAGATTGAGCGGCGTGCACGCGGACCATCAAGAACAGATCCAAGTTAAACGCGAGGAAATCGACGGTTACTGGCAGAGCCTCACCGGAAAGGCGAAGGAGCGCAAAGAGAAGCTGGAGGAGTCGTATTCGCTGCACAGATTCTTGGCCGATTTCAGAGACCTCGTTTCGTGGATCAACGACATGAAGGCCATCATTAGCGCCGACGAACTCGCTAAGGACGTGGCGGGGGCCGAAGCCCTGCTGGAGCGCCACCAAGAGCACAGAGGGGAAATCGACGCCCGCGAGGACAGCTTCGACGGCACCATCGAAGCCGGCAACCAGCTTCTCTCCAAGGGCCACTACGCCAGCGACGAAATTAAAGAGAAACTATCCGCCCTGGCTTCGGATAAGAACTCCTTGAACGCGCTGTGGGAGGAACGTCGCATTCTATACGAGCAATGCATGGACTTGCAGCTATTTTACAGAGACACCGAGCAAGCCGACACTTGGATGGCCAAACAGGAAGCCTTCCTCGCCAACGAAGATTTGGGGGATTCCTTGGACTCGGTCGAATCGCTGATCAAAAAGCACGAAGACTTCGAGAAGTCCCTCGCGGCGCAAGAGGAGAAAATCAAGCTTCTCGACGAGTTCGCGACAAAATTAATCGATGGCGAGCATTATGCGGCCGACGATGTCGCCCAGAGACGAGCCATGCTGTTGGAGAGGCGCAAGGCCCTCAAGGAAAAGTCGAGTTTGAGGCGCATCATTTTGGAGGACGCCTACAAGCTGCAGCAATTCGAGAGGGATTGCGACGAGACCAAGGGATGGATCAACGAGAAACTGAAGTTCGCCACCGACGAAAGCTACCTGGATCCCACCAACTTGGGCGGGAAGGTGCAGAAACATCAGAACTTCGAGCAAGAATTGCAAGCAAATAAGGTTTTTTTTTGTTTTTTTCACTGTTTTTTTAAATGTTTTTTTTCTCACTTTTTTAGTTTTTTTTTCTTTACATTCCATATTGCGTTTCCAACATTTTAAAATGTGTTTTTAACATTCTGTTTTTGGACATTTAAAATTTTGTTTTTAACATTTTAAATAATGTTTTAATATTCCAAGGTAATTTTAAATGTCTTTTAACATTTAACATAGTCCAGGAAACAAAGATTGTAGAAGGAAAACTCGATGGTAATTAGGTTTTATTTTTTTATGGAGAGTCAGGGGTGCTGATAATGAATTAAGAATATTCCCCAAAAATTTCTTTCCGCGTCCCCTAATTTCATCCACCGAAAGGGGAGTTTTTTTTTTGCTTTTTGGCTCATAACTCGCTAACCGTGCATTTTTTCAAAATTTGACCTCTAAAACTTTTGATTAGGTACTAAATAAAGCACATGATAAACCTACAGATGTAAAAAAAACGGTTTTTTTTTTCAGATGTGAAAAAAAAACATGAAAAAAAAACGGTTTTTTGTTTTTTTTTCAAAATGAAATTTTGAGTAAAATTAGAATATATTACATTTTTCATTATTAAAAATTTTGACCAAGACTAAAAAATCTGATTTCTTATTATTTGGTAGTTTCCACAATAAAAACCAATAGCAATGTAAAACTTCTACACTAATACAAAAAATTAAAGGATAAATTTTTTTTTGCGATTTTTCGGAAAGCTGTATATTTATTAAAAATGGTCGTATTGGAGCCGTAAAAAAAGCAATTTGAAGCTTGAAGTTTATAGTTTTGAGATTTTTAGATGAAAAACGTGCAACGCTCAATTCTAACGAATACAGTAATAAAAAAATCGATTTTTTTTTATTCCTTTTTTGGTCCACGGAATTTTCTGACCACCAATGAATAAATGTTCTACAAGAATTTGCTAATGTTTTTAAAAAAAATCCATACTCTACATAAATTTGAAAAATCATGAAAAAAGTGCTTTTGTTAGCTTTTTGAAAAATCAATCGCTGAATCAAAAATATTATATGTAGTTACTTTTTTTAGGACCAAATCAAAACAAGCGCGGCCCTTATTGGTCAAATCGGTGGTTGTGGCGAGTGAATAACGCAAGACTGTATTTACATTTAATAATTGTCATTTAGTGGCTAATTTTAGTCCATGAAAACATAAAAAATTAGACAAATGGGACTAATCTTGAAAAAAAACCTAAAATGTGAAAAAAAAAAACCATTTGAAAAAAAACCAGAAAAAAAAAACAAAAAAACGGACCGTTTTTTTTTTCAAGTCGCATCTCTAGATAAACCCCATTGCGCACCTTTATGATGTGCCCTTTTGCTATGCGCAGGCGCAGTGTGCAAAGTTGAGCATTGCTTTTAAAATCACTTTTTTGTTTTTTTTTTATTATAGCCCAATTTTAAAAGTAATCTATCCCAAACCTTACGGTAATCAAACATAACCGAATAGACGATTTTTTGAGGTACTAGACTTTTTTCAAAAGTTCTTTTTCCAAAACTTTAATTTTTGTGGGGCACTTGCAATGAAAATAATTAAAGAAAACTACGGATTCGTTACGAGGATAAGTGTACCTTAAAATCTAGGGTAGAACGAACTGGCTCATTAAAGCCGTTTGGGAAGTAAAAAACGGGTTTTTTAAAAAAAAAAACCCAATACTTTGAAAAGCAGTAACTTTTGAAAAAAGTCTAGTACCTCAAAAAATCGTCCATTCGGTTATGTTTGATTACCGTAAGGTTTGGGATCGATTACTTTTAAGATTGGGCTATAATAAAAAAAAACTAAAAAGTGATTTTGAAAGCAACGCTCAACTTTGCACACTGCGCATAGCAAGAGGGCACATCATATATGTAGGTGCGCAATGGGGTTTAACGTGTGCCTTATTTAGTACATAATCAAAAGTATTGGAAGTAATATTCTAAAAAAATGCACGGTTAGCGAGTTATGAGCCAAAAAGCAAAAAACTCCCCTTTCGGGGGATGAAATTAGGGGACGCGGAAAGAAATTTTTGGGGAATACTCTTGATTAATTATCAGCACCCCTGACTACTTAAAAAAAAATAAACCCCTACTACCATCGAGTTTTCCTTCTACAATCTTTGTTTCCTGGACTAAGCATTTTATATTTTTGGACTTTTTAAATGTTTTTTACGGAAGCGCTGAAGGGCCATGTTAAATAATTTTTAATAATAGGATTTCCAGTTATATTTCCAAATAATATCTGGAAATTCCAATTATCAATTGGAAATCTCCAATTAATAAGTGAAAATTTCCAGATAATATTTGGAAATTTCCAATTAATAAGTGGAAATTTCCAATAAATAGGTGGAAATTTCCAATTAATAAGTGGAAATTTCCAATTAATAAGTGGAAATTTCCAGATATTATTTGGAAATTTACAATAAATAAATGGAGTAAAAAAAAAGAGTATAAAAAAGAGTACCTATAAAAAAAGTACAAAAAAGAGTATTAAAAAGAGTATAAAATAAACGTATAAAAAAGAGTACAAAAAAGAGTATAAAAAGAGTATAAAAAAGAGTATAAAAAAGGGTACAAAAAATAGTATAAAAATAGTATAAAAAAAGAGTATAAAAAAGAGTATAAAAAAGAGTATAAGAAAAGAGTATAAAAAAAGAGTATGAAAAAGAGTATAAGAAAAGAGTATAAAAAAGAGTATAAATTAATTGGAAATTTCCACCTATTACTTGGAAATTTCCAAATAATATCTGGAAATTTCCACTTATTAATTGGAAATTTCCACTTATTAATTGGAAATTTCCACTTATTAATTGGAAATTTCCACTTATTAATTGGAAATTTCCAAATATTATCTGGAAATTTCCACTTATTAATTGGAAATTTCCAATTGATAATTGGAAATCCTATAATTAAAAATTATTTAACATGGCCCTTCAGCGCTTCCGTAGTTTTTAACATTTTCACATTCTAAACTAGTTTTTACTTTCTAAAATGTGTTCTTGGCATTCTAAAATGTGTTTTACCATGCATTTTTAGACATTCTCAAGTAATTATTACATTCAAAAATAAACTTTGATAAATAAGTATGTTAATAGGTACTACAATAAAATGTGTAATAACTAAAGATGTTACTTGAAAAAAAAACGATCCGGGTTATTTGTTTTTTTTTTTCAGGATTTTTTTCAAATGCTTTTTTTACATTTTATGTTTAGTTTTCTTTCAAGATTACTTCCAGTTGCCCAATTTATCTTTCCAGCCCAGTTCATGGACTATAATTAGCCACTAAATGACATTTAGTAAATGTAAATACAGTCTCGCGCTATGCACGCGCCACCACCGAATTGACCAATAAGGGCCGCGCTTGTTTTGATTTGGTCCTAAAAAAAAGTAACTACCTATAATATTTTTGATTCAGCGCTTAATTTTCCAAAAAGCTACCAAAAGCTGTTTTCCTGATTTTTCAAATTCATGTAGAGTATACAATAGCAAATTCAAAAGTCAGAACATTTTTTTCCAAGTCCGTCCGCCCGACCAACAAAATTTTTTTATTACGGTATTTGTTAGGTTTGAGCGTTGCACGTTGCTTTGAACATTTTTTCATCTAAAAATCTCAAAACTAGAAACTTCAAGCTTCAAATTGCTTTTTTACGGCTCCAATACGACCATTTTTAACGAAGATACAGCTATCCAAAAAAAAAAATTATCCTTTAATTTTTTCTATAGATGGAAGTGCTCATAAGCGCTCATAAATGCTCGATGAAATATAAATTTTATAAGAAAAAATATTGAAAAAAAAAACACATTTACACATTTACTATTCAGTACAAAAAATAATTTCTAGTTTTGGCGCCAAATTCAAATATCGAGCAATTTGGTAAATTTTTTTACATCTCTAGATCAGAGTCGAGGAGATTTCCTCCACCGGGCAGGAATTGATCGAGGCGGGACATTACGCCGCGCCCAGGGTTCAGTCGCGCCTCGACGAAATCGTCGGCTTGTGGGAGACGTTGGAGCAAGCCACCGGCAAGAAAAACTCCAAACTGCACGACGCCAGTCAGCAGCAGCAGTTCAACAGAACCATCGAGGATATCGAGTTGTGGTTGTCCGAAATCGAGGGTCAACTGATGTCCGAAGACTACGGCAAAGATTTGACGTCGGTGCAAAATTTGCAGAAAAAGCACGCCCTCTTGGGAGCCGACGTCGGCTCTCACAAGGACCGCATCGAGGCCATCACGTCGGCAGCCAATCAGTTCATCGAACGCGGTCATTTCGACGCCGACAACATTGCTCACAAGCAAAAGACCCTTTGCGACAGGTACGTAGTTTGATTTTATTTTTCGGAAAGGTTGGAAAAGCTGAGTTTTTCGTAATGTAAATGTATTAATAGCTATTTGTGTATTAAGAGCGCAAAGTGATACATTGCCGCTCTGAGCGAGAAGTTGGGCTATCTCGCGAGAGCGGCAATGTTACTTTGCGCTCGAATTACACACAAGATTTTTTTCTACAACCGGTGTTTCTATAAGAATGTTTGGTAAAAATTAATAATTGAAGGGGTCAATGCAAGAAGTGCCTTAAGGCGGCTGCACAATTACACGGGAACGCTAACGAAAACGAGAACGGAAACTAAAACGAAAACGAGAAGATTCACAAGATTCACAATTAACATAATTATTTTAATTCTTAGGTTAATATATTTTGGGGATATTTAATTTATTTAGTATTTATAATAGAAATATACGTACGATCATACTGCAGATGTTCAGCTATTAAAAGCTAACTATTTTTCTTTAATAATTAATCTTTATACTCTTTTAACAGGCGATCGTACAGATGTGGGAACTTTTTTACTAATAAAATAATTAATTCGTCGTTCATTTTAATTAATTTTTTAACACAGAACGTATTGATAAAACAAATAGCGCGAATGTCAGAAATAATTTGACAGATTAAACTCATTTTCTATTGGTTTCGACAATGCTGCGTTTCTATTGGCTACCGGGAACGAGAAACTTAAAACTTAACCAACTTTCTCGTTTCCGTTCGCGGGATGTTTCTCGTTCTCGTTACCGAAAATTTGTTGTGCATGTGTACATTGACTTATGTGCGTTTAATTTTATTCTCGTTACCGTTCTCATTTCCGTTTCCGTTCCCGAGTAATTGTGCAGCCGCCTTTAGTCAGAAATAGTTGATTCTGAGATATTGCGGTTTGAAGGTTTATTTTTGATTATGAAATATTACACAAAATATTATGATGAAAATGTGTGTTGTATTGCATTCTTTGTGAAAAGTGGATTGGACTTCCATGATTAAAAAAGAAAAAACGTTTTGTTATATCAAAAAAATATATAAAATAATTTGGGACTTGGGCACTTTTTGGGTTGAATTGTTTTTATTTCGTCCAAAATTAAGGGATATTTTGAGAAAAAATTTGTTTATACTTAAAAATAGGTTTATTATATTATAACGCCGTAAAAAATATATAAATTGTGAACAAAACTTAAGACTAAAACATAACTTGGGCACTTAGACACATATTTCTGCCACTCTGCAAATACCACCTGAAAGCTGAAGTGAAACCCTTTTAGATAGCGCCACAATGTCAATTTTATTGAAAATATGACTTAGGCACTTCTTGCAATGACCCCTTCAATTATTGATAACCTCAAATTTGACGTTTGTGTCAAAAGTACACTAAACGTTTCTTTATTATGGTTGCCATGGTAACTAAGCGAGCGACAAAGTAAAAAAACGCTAGAGTTTTATTCCTTGTTTTTTTTTTCAATTTTAAATATTTATGTTATTATGATGATATAGTTCAAAATACGTCACAAATATTCTTATTGGAATTTTAGCAACTAAAATACACTGCCCATCAAAATTAACGCATAATAAGTAAAAAAATTCTCACTCTAAAACGCCTTTACCAATCTTTATGAAATTTTGTATAAAAATACTTCAACTTATATCTCAGTTTACGTGTTCGAGGGTTTTTCAAAAAAATATTTTTAAAGCCTTAAGGTCGAACAGTAACAAATATTCAGCGCTTCAAAGTCGGTAAAAATTACCCCTTTTTGATTATATTGCTGAAAAATGGTAATTTTTGACGACTTTGAAGCGCTGTATCTTTGTTACTGTTCGTTTGATTTGTACAAAATTTTTAGGGTAAACTAACAAAAACACGGTCTTTAACACCATATTTTTAATTTACTTAAAAAAAATCTCATAAAGATTGGTAAAGGCGTTTTAGAGTTAATTTTTTTTTACTTATGCGTTAATTTTATACTTTAAAATAAAACAATCTTCCTATAATAAAAAATGCTGCTAGCAGACCATTTTTAATTAAGTTTGACAGAATGTAACTCCAAAAAACAATGATTTTAGCACGTTTTACTATAAATACTTCAAATCTGGCGATTTATATCGAATTTTGACCAAATTATCTACCGAAAAAAAAAATAATGGTCAACTCATTGTTCATCGGCTCTCCCACCTACTAACTTTTCCAACTTTTCCTTGTTTGCAACCCTACAGGTACGCCGCCCTGAAGACCCCTTTGGCGGTCCGCAAGCAGCGTCTGCTCGACTCGCTCCAGGTGCAGCAGTTGTTCCGCGACGTCGAAGACGAGGAGGCCTGGATCCGCGAGAAGGAACCGATCGCTGCCAGCACCAACCGAGGGCGCGATCTGATCGGAGTGCAGAACTTGATCAAGAAGCATCAGGCCGTGCTGTCCGAGATCAACAACCACGACGGCAGAATCGTGAACGTGTTGGACACCGGCAAGCAGATGATGGAAGACGAACACTTCGCCATCGACGAGATCCGCAACAGGGTTAACGCGTTGTCTTCCCACTGGGACTACTTGAAGGATAAGGCGAACCAGCGCAAGCAGGATCTGGAGGATTCTCTTCAAGCGCATCAGTACTATGCTGACGCCAACGAAGCGGAATCCTGGATGAAGGAGAAGGAGCCGATAGTCGGCAACATGGACTACGGAAAAGACGAAGATTCTTCCGAAGCTCTTCTTAAAAAGCACGAGGCGTTGATGAGTGATTTGATTGCTTTTGGAAACACCATCGAAGGTCTTAATGAACAAGCCAGAAACTGCAGGGTAAGTAATGCAATAGAATTTATAAATTTTGAAACTCCATATTAATACTGTAAATATAAAAGCTACTATGTTTTTATAGTTTCACGTAATTATAAATAATATTTATCCTAATATAAAATATACAAATTAATTTCTTAGATCTCACTATTCAACAAAAGTAAAGGCTTCCACACCTTCAAAATAAACTGCGCACCACTCAATGTGTCGCGACCAAAAAGTTTGTTCTTTTTCAAAACGACATAACTTTTTTGTTTCTTTAACGATTTTATTTTCGTCTGTGATGTCTCCTAGCCCCATCCTCTGGCAATTCATGATATAGATATGAAGCTCTAGGTTCTTCAAGTAAATATCCTACAGGGTGATATGTTAAACGGTGAAAAATTTCAATACCTTCATCCAAGCCCCGTTTGTAAAAAAATAATTTTTTTCCCGTTTTTAATTTGAAATAATGAAGTATTATGTCTTACCTTGAAACTTTTATCAAATTTTTCGAATTGGAATCTTAGCAACGAAAATATGATTTTTTTTTCAAAAGCGTACATTTAAGGCTTTTTGTAGGCAATACACTCAGTCTTTTTAGGAACAAGAAGATAAGATGGTGAAAGATTGTTCCTTAAATAATTCTGAACAAGTGACATGCAACAAACTTCCATTATTTTTAGAGGGCCTAAGCAAAAACCACTTTTTTAAAATAACATTTTGGTGAAAATTTGCGAAAACTAAACCTTAACCGATATTTACGTTAGTAACATGTTTTCTTCATAATTTTGACCTCTTAATTATGATTCAGTTGTCAAATTTAAGTTTGAGATAAAACCAAAATCACCAAGAATCATGATTCTTAAACAATTCCTGGCTGTTATCTTAATATAATACGATTGCTGGTTTTTACTGTTTTTATACAGTTTTTGCATCTTTAGTACGTTATTATCATGTCGCTGAATGATAAAATTTAGGATCAAATGAAAATTAGCATTATGAGGGATATTCTTGTGTTTTTCAAAATTTCGAAGATTTTTTGCATAAGTTATATATCTTTTCGTAAAATTTTTCAAAATGAACAAAAATATTTTTATTTAACTTTATTATCTAACCACCTAACCACTCAAACAAATTGCAGTAATTTCGAACAAAAATGAATCCCCAAATGGCATTTTAATCAAAAATATGCAAGAAACACGCCAGCAATAGGATTTTATTAAGACATTTAACAGCCGGGAATTGTTTTCGAATTTTGATTCTTAGTGATCATCTTATCTTCTTGTTCTTAAAAAGACTGAGTGTATTGCCTACAAAAAAGCCTTAAATGTACTCTTTTGGAAAAAAAATCATATTTTCTTTGCTAAGATTCCAATACGAAAAATTTGAAAATCTTTTCAAGGTAAGACATAATACTTCATTATTTCAAAGTAAAAATAAGAAAAAAATTATTTTTTTACAAACGGGGCTTGGATGAAGTTATTGAAATGTTTGACGGTTTTGCATATCACCGTGTACGAAATTTACTTGAAGAACCGTGAGCTTTATATCTATAGCATGAATTGCCAGAGGATGGGGCTAGCAGACATCACATACCAAAATAAAATCGTTCAAGAAACAAAAAAGTTATGTCGTTTTGAAAAAGGACGAACTTTTTGGTCGCGACACATTGAGTGGTGCGCAGTTTATATCACAAACCTAGCTACAGTATATCTATACTTATAAACAATTCATCCATGCATTCTTAAAAATAGCAGCTTTTTACTCAATGATCCATAGATTCTTAAACATACCTTTATCAGATAAAAAATTTAACGATGAATTAAATTTAATAAAACAAATAGCAGTAAACGATGGATATGAATCACCATTAATTACTGATATTCTGAAAAAAAAAATTAGCTATTAAACAAATTTTTCCATCACTTATAAACCCAATTAATACTTTCAATACTACATATTTAGGTTCCAATATAAGATATGTTTCCACGTTTTAAAACAAAATTAATAGCAATATCTTTTTTAAAACTATCTACAATCTAAGTATTTTCATAAAAAACAACAAAGATAAGTTCAATAGACATACGAAATCAGGCCTCTACCAATTAACTACAGATTGTCCAAAAACTTATATAGGACAAACTGGCCATAATTTTAATACCAGAATTAAAGAACATCTTAGATCATTTATAAACCAAATACTTGATTTAGCTTACGCGACACATCTAATAATAGAAAACCACACATTTAATAACTTCAAAATATTACATTTAGAAAATAAAGGCACAAAATTAAATCTATTGGAGTCTTTAGAAATTAACAAACTTAAAAATACTTATAATATTTTCAATGATCAAATTGAAACAAATAATTCACCACTGTTAAACCTATTTTTATTAAGATACTACAATAGCATTATATAAAACAGCGGTTCTTAACCTTTTTGGCTGGCGACCCACAATTCAAAAATATTAGAAGCTCGCGACCCGATAAAAAATAAAATCATCAATTTTCTACATTTTCTTTATTTAAAGTAAGTTAAAAAAATTTTTAGAAATCAACTAACACAAATCCCGCATCCCCATCTCGATGATATAAAACAATCACACATTTAAAATATTGCCCCCTTAAATAAAATGGTTAACAATAAATAGATTAGGTTTTTTCCATTAGGAATTTCTGAATGTCTCTTTTAATATTACGTAACACAAGTAGATTTAGCATAAAAATCATAAATAAATATATAAATTTTGCACTAGTATTAGTTTTAATACATTCTGAAGAACCTACTGTGTAAAATTTAATAAATTACGTGAAAGTTTCAAAACATAGTTGTTTTTATATTTACATAGAATTTATAAACTTTAGATCCTTATAATAATTTATTTACAGCAACAAGAACCACCAGTGGTTGATGTAACAGGAAGAGAAACCGTTCAAGCGTTATACGACTACACGGAAAAATCAGCCCGCGAAGTTTCAATGAAAAAAGGAGACCTTTTGCATCTCCTCAACTCCAACAACAAGGACTGGTGGAAAGTTGAGATCCACGATAGACAAGGCTTCGTTCCGGCCGCTTACGTGAAGAAAGTGGAAGCCGGGCTCACAGCCTCCCAACAGAATTTGCTCGACAACAACTCGATCTCCGCGCGCCAATCGCAAATCAACGGGCAATACGACAGACTGCTCGCTTCCGCCAGAGAAAGGCAGAACAAACTCAACGAGACCGTGAAGGCGTACGTGCTGGTCCGCGAGGCGGCCGAGCTGGCCAACTGGATCAAGGACAAGGAGATGCACGCTCAGGTGCAGGACGTCGGCGAAGACCTGGAGCAAGTCGAGGTGAGCCAAAATCTCTTAGGTTCCTATTTCTAGTCCTTGGCAGTAAAAATAAAATAAAAATGCATTTTCTTATGTTTTATCGAAAAAAGTAAAGATCCCCTTTATTTTTCGCACATTAAAAATCAAAACTTCTATATAAAATAACATTTTTATTTATAATTTGTTTATTATGTAACGCCGCACTATGGTCAAAAAGCAGCGTTTTGCGGAAAAAAAAACAATAACTTTTTTAATACAAATAAATATTATTTTTTCTTTTTTTAATGTGTTAAATTAGTTAGTTAAGTTAAGTTATTACGTATTATTAATTATATTTTAATCGAAAATTTTAAAGGTTTTTATTTTTTAAATGCGTTTTTAGATTATTATAAAGCACTGTTTTGCAGAAATATAAGGATTATTACGTATAATTAACTATATTTTAATCAAAAAACAAGGTTTTTAATTTTTAAATGCGTTTTTAGATGTTCAAAGAGCGTCAATTGCAGATATAACCCAATAATTTTTTTATTGCTAAAAAATATTAATTATTTTATTTTTTACTTTTTAAATAAACTTATTTTAATCGAAAAACATAACGATTTTTATTGAAGAAATTATCAAAAAACTTGTTTATTGTGTTAAATAAGATTTAATAGGTATAATTAACTATATTTTATTAAAAAAATAAAGGTCTTTATTTTTTAAATGTCTTTTTTAGATGTTCGCGGTAAAACGATTGCGAAAATTTTTATTGTAAATAAATACGTATTTTTTTAACTACCTTAACTAAGCACACTTTAAGAAATAAATAATTATAATTTGAATTTTAACATTTATTATTAATAATTCTTCATCGTTTTGTATTTCTCTTAAGTAACGTTATTAGACTATGAAATATATCCTCGTTTGTTGATTTTCGATTTGTTTTATAAAATATCTTTCCTTTGATATACGTACAAAGCAAAGGATTATCTATTAATTAATACCTAATAATTTGTTATTAATAGGTAATTAATTATTAATCCTATTGATAAGTATACTTTGTATATGGGTGATTCTACAAAAGTTGGGCAACTTTTGACTTCATTTTGTTTATATAGTTTTCGGAGAAAATTAAACAGTATTTTGTTATGAGAACATAGATAATATAATAAATATACTGTTCCAGACCGGGCCAGTCACTTTTTCAAACAGTTTCTGAAACATCTGTGTTTTCTAAATTTGAATGCAAGAGAAGTGACGAGTACTAATTAAATACATAATTTATTGGAAAATATAAGATTTATTGCAACTTTGAGCATATTATACATAAATATCTTAAAATCAAATAATACCACACATCAGTGGCAGCTGGTGGATTTTGGGTATACCAATATCTCAATTATTAGATATGGGACCCACACCAAATTTATATGAGTTTATAATGACATTAAATAAACAAGTTCTGCGCAAGCAGAATTTAAATGAAAGTTTGCGAAAAAAAGATAACCAAAACATCGAACATGGAACTGCCGACACTGATGAATGGGATACAAATTTGAGATTATAATTCGGAATTAAGTATTTTACTGATATTTTTATTAGTGGATGCTACTTATCAAGAAATCACATATAGCCTTATATAAATTACAATGAAATATATATACGTAAGAAAATAACTACTCACCACAGTACTGAAATTTTGACTGGCACTATACGTGCATTCACCACAACTTCGCCGCTTGCATTGTTTTCAAGGTGAGTGTCATGCAAAGGGGGGGCTCTATAGGTAATTTTTTACTAACACTTGAGTTAAAATGAGGACTTGACGTTTAAACTTCAATATTTCGCAGGAATTTTGAATTTTAACATTAGACATACAACTGACGGGTAAAAGTGAGTACAAAGATTATCATTTTTTTTTAAATTGCTATTATTCGAATGTATGATAAAATATGAAAAATACATTATTTAATGTTTTATAGTTTGTAGTGAAATTGAAAAATTTAAGATAAATTGAATATATTTTAAAATAAAATCACTCAAATATTTGATTCAGGAGTTGTGACACGCCAAGGTACTGATGTTTTGAATATTTATTATATATATTCTACAAACGTGCTTTTGAAAAATACATGACAAGTTAAAAAAACCTGAATCTTTTGTAATATACTAAAATATTTACAAAAAATATTAAAATACCTACTCTATTGACTGATGGCATCAAGTTGTCCAACTTTTGTAGAATCACCCATATATTTTTAATAATATAAGAAAAATTTAATACATGTTGAAATATTTATAATAATTAATAAATTCAACTAAACCTTATGAGCATAGATCTGTAGGTACGAAAATCATAAGTGCGTAGACAATGCCTTAGTTAGCTACGAGCGCTCGCGATTTAGCCATGCAGCGCGATAAATAAAAATTCATAATTTTTCCATATGTGCTAATTTTACCAATGTGTCTTTAAGGGGTTGCATACATATGAGCTCGTAAAAATTAACGTTTTTGGTGATTTTTTTTTTTGGTATACAATAATAATTATATTGAAACGAACTATAAAGCATCGAATAGGGTATGTATTGTAAAAAAAAATTATGCGAAAATTTGGAAAATACTCTTGCCCCAAAACGTCTTTTTTGAAAGCGTTTTGCGGTGAGAATAAAATATCGAAAACCGCCAAACAAATTTTAATGAAAAAAAAATCCATATTAGAACATAGTAAACGTAAACGAAGGGTTTTCTAAAAAACATAAAAAAGTTTTTAAAAATATATTTTTTCCGCCGATTAACCATAGTGCGGCGTTACATTTCTTCCTTATCTATCTCACAAATTGTAATAAATATTAAAAATGCCTGTGAGTTGTGCGCGGCATCTATTTATGAAATAGACAGTTTATTATTATTAAAAATTAAACTTGTTTACCGTTAATATGATTTTAATTTTTGAATATGTGAAAATGGGAAGCTAACAAATTTTTACGCAGGTGCTGCAGAAGAAGTTCGACGATTTCCAGACCGATTTGAAGGCGAACGAGGTGCGCCTGGCCGAGATGAACACCATCGCCTTGCAGCTGGTTTCCCTAGGGCAGACCGAGGCCGCTTTGAAGATCCAAACGCAGATGGACGAGCTGAACACCAAGTGGAACTCGCTGCAGCAGCTCAGCACCGAGCGCGCCAGCCAGCTGGGATCCGCCCACGAGGTCCAGAGGTTCCACCGGGACGTGGACGAGACCAAAGATTGGATCCAAGAGAAGGACGACGCGCTCAACAACGACGACCTCGGCAAGGACCTGCGCAGCGTGCAGGCGCTGCAGAGGAAGCACGAGGGGTTGGAGAGGGACTTGGCCGCGTTGGGCGACAAAATCAAGCAGCTGGACGAGATCGCGAACCGGCTGGTGCAAAGTCACCCGGAAAGTGCCGAGCAAACGTTGATCAAGCAGGAGGAGATCAACAAGTATTGGACGCAGCTCACCGCCAAGGCGAACAGCCGCAAGGAAAAATTGCTCGACTCGTACGACCTGCAGCGTTTCCTGAACGACCACCGCGACCTCTTGGCCTGGATCAACCAGATGCTCGGACTAGTTCGCACCGACGAGCTGGCCACCGATGTCACCGGCGCGGAGGCCCTCATCGAAAGACACCAGGTAACATTTCGGCATATTCATTGCGGTTTTATCGACTTGTTTTCAAAATGCACATTTAATTTCTGCCTTACGCGTTAAAAGATGCAAATTTGTTTTTGGCCTTTCCATCTCAAATCGTTATTTTTTAACGAAATTTTTTTACAGTTTCTCTTCCAAAATCTATGAGACCCGTATTTTTTCTTTTTTCTTGAACAGGATATTTCTTAAAGATGGACAGAAACATCGTTTTTTCCCTTTTTACGAGTGACATTTTTTCTTAAAAAAGCGATAACTTGGAGAAAAAATGTTTCGATCGTTTTTTTTAATTGTAGGTAAATGTTTACTACATACAAAAAGAATATAATTCAATTTGTTTTTAAATTGTTTTTTCTAAAAAAGGCAAAAAAAATCGAAATTAACGCATAATAAGTAAAAAAATTCTAACTCTAAAACGCCTTTACCAATCTTTATGAAATTTTGTATAAGAATACTTTATACTTATATCTCAGTTTACGCGTTCGAGGGTTTTTCGAGAAAATATTTTTAAAGCCCTTTTATTTAATATTTAAAAAAAAACCCTAAAAAAACTTTTCTAGGGAATTTTTTTGAAGTAAATAAAAAATATGCTGTTAAAGACCGTATTTTTGTTAGTATACCCTGAAAATTTTGTACAAATCAAACGAACAGTAACGAAGATACAGCGCTTCAAAGTCGGTAAAAATGACCCCTTTTTGATTATTTTGCTGAAAAGTGGTCATTTTTACCGACTTTGAAGCGCTGTATCTTCGTTACTGTTCGTTTGATTTGTACAAAATCTTTAGGGTATACTAACAAAAATACGGTTTTACCAGCATATTTTTTATTTACTTTAAGAAAATTCCCTATAAAAGGTTTTTTAAAGCGTTTTTTTTTTGCATACGCGTCGATTTCGGTAGAGAAACTGTACAAAGGTCGATTTGAGATGGAAAGACCCTATTGTAATTTTATAAATTATAACAGGTCTACCAAATTTAACCAAATTAAAGAATTTAACTTTTACTTTTGATGCGGTGGATTTGAATCCAGAATTGCTCCACCATGTCAGATTTTTGGGAAATTTTAACCCAAGATTAAAAAAACGCCTTTTGTTGCATCACGAAATATTGTCTTTCCACAAAACTAGTTATACCATCTCGTGATGTAAACAAACCGGCTTGTTTTTTTCAGAAATTTGTGTTTTTTAGAAAAATAGAGATTATCTAGTTAACGCATTGGTTATCTGTTACTTATTAGGGGGAATCCATTAATTACGTGAGATAAAAATGGGGGGAGGGCTCTAGCAAAATCTCACCAAATCTCATTTTGTGTCCTTGAAAAACTCACGTCAACTTTTTAGTTTAAAGAATATGTATTATTATAAATTAATTTTGTTAAAAAAAATATTCAATTTTTTTTACTTTTTTTGGGTATATCATGTCCGCAAACAATGTTTCATGACTAGAATCTCACGTAAGGGATTCACATCTTAACACGGGGGAGGGGGGTCCAAACTATCAGAAAAATACCTCACGTAATTAATGGATGCTCCCTTATTCGTAAGAAAAGGGTATTCCCCGGAAATAGTTTCGGCAGAAGACGCAGTCGTGCCTTTCCATTTCATCTTGTTGAAGAAAACATTTTTTTGCTGGGAACATAAGCACAAAATCCCGTATTTTCCGAAAGTTAATAATTCTAAAAACTACAACTGTGCAACTAAGCTGTTGAACGACGATTTCTAATATAAATTTAGCATTTTTCTTTTGTCAGGAAGGATTTTGGTTCAACCTTATTTTATAATTTTAAAATGTTTTCTTTTTCAAATTGGAAAAAGACGTTGTTTTACAGCACTAATGCCATCCAAAAGTAACAATCTTTCTCTTTAAAATCAATGAATGACACACTGTTTAACAAAATGTTAAAAAATATATTAAAAGCGTTCTTGCATGAGTCACAACTAAAATAAATGTAAAAAATGGCAAGCATGTTTTTTTTCCAAGAAATATTAGATCAATAATTAATTATAAATGTTATTCACAGAATTTTTTGAAAAGGTCCAAGAGCAAAATTGACTGAAAATATCAGTTGTCGGTTGTTTTTAAGTGTCAATTTTTCTTTAATTAAATTAAAATTTTAACACAATAAAGTAGATAGATGATGCTAACAAAATTCGTAAATTTTATTCAAATCGTACAAAAATTCTTCGTGTAACAGAACTTTGAATTTGTTTAAAAAACGAATTCGTTAAAAGCATGATTTTTGAAGAAAAAAACTTTACAAATATGTATATTTTTTATTTTAATTGGTACACATAGCTACAATACCAATCATAATGATCCTCATTAAAAATATTTGATTAACGTCGAAAAATCGGTTTTTTTCACAATATTTATCGCTGAAATAAGAGCTTATTGTAAAAATAATTTTTGTTGACCAGTGTAAATTACGATAAATTAGAAAAGTGAATTACGATAAATTAGAAAAGTAAATTAATTCAACCTTGGTTTGTTTTAAAAATGGTGTAGACCTGTGTAATAGTACAAAACTTGCGAATTGTAAAAGGTGTGAAACGTGCCTTTTTAACTTGTACCTACTACCTACTATTTGCATGAGTTTTGTAAAGGAATGAACAATAATAATATTCAAAAATAATTTCTAAGCATTTTGAAAGTAAGTAGCTGCTCGCGGAACGAAGTTTTAATTTGCGTTGTTGGTATTTTTAGACCTACAGGGCTGAAATTGATGCGCACTATGGAATTCCTCAGGTACTAAGTACATCCGAGTGTTATGTAACCTACTAATTACGATTTTAAGCCATATTATGCCCATGTAACCAACCTTTAACAATTTTGTGTATCCATTTTACAACATGTACTAATATAATACTTGCTAGGCGATTTTTAATTTTGTTTTGTTAGAAATGTATTGAGAAAAGCTACAAAATAATAAAAATAAATAAACGTGGTGTGCAGTTTGGGAAAAATAAATAAATACAGGGTGTTATGTAATTAATGTTATATATTAAAATACTGAATACCTTTTGACATAAGGAATAAAGGAAAAATATTTAAAAAAACATTTTTCCAAAGATAAAGAAAAAATATGCATTAGAAGTTTTTATATTTTTTGTGATACGCCACTGGTTTCACACTTCCTTTATCTCTGCACACTTGTATTTTGTGAGTACATTGATACCAACCAACAAAGTAGCTATGCGTTGCCAGATGTAAAAAATTGTTACTAAAAACTTTTCTTGCAAAAAATAAATAAAAACTCAATAAATACAAAAGTTTTATGCCCTTAAAGCTCTAATACCCTTCTGTATTTATTTACTGATCCAGCTATTAGCTTAAGCAATGATTAGAAAATTTAGTACCTTTGAAATTTGAAATCCATAACCACAAAATTAATTTTTTCATCAGTTTTTTTCTCTGTTTACTCAGATGAAATTGGGACCAGTTCACAGGTTAAACTTTAAACATTTAATTTGTGTAAATAAATCCAAAAGCACTTCCCTTAGTTAAGATATTTACAATTTAAAAACATAACCTAAAATTTAAAAGAAATGCACTAGATTCTGTCATAAAAGTTGGCAGATTTTGTTTGAATTTACCTTCAGTACAAAAATGACATAACCCTCAATTAATAAAAACGCCAAATTGACAATTTGCATTGTTAATTTTGTCATTTTTGTAATTAAGCTAAATTTAAACAATGTTTGTCAACTTTTTTGAGAGATTTTTTAAACACTGTTGTTACCAACCATAACATAATAAATCCACCAGATTAACCTAAAGTTCCTAGTCGATCAGTGGCGTACTTTTTGGTAGGATAAAGGTTATTATAAATTATTTTTAGACTTTGGAATTTAGAAAAAAAAAGTTTCAGGTGCTTTTTTATGGACCCTAAGGAACAACCCATTTTAATATATAACATTAATTACATAACACCCTGTATTTTTTAAATGGGTACTTAAGTACGTTATTTTATCTACACAGGAACATCGCACTGAAATTGACGCCCGTGCTGGCACCTTCCACGCCCTCGAACAGTTCGGCCAACAGTTGCTGAATTCAAACCACTATGCCAGTCCGGAAATTCAGGAAAAACTCGAGCAGCTCAACAAGGCTCGCGAAGAACTGGAAGGGGCATGGATAGAGCGACGGGTGCAACTGGATCAAAATTTGGATCTCAATTTGTTCAACAGAGACTGCGAACAGGCGGAGAACTGGATGAGCGACCGAGAAGCCTTCTTGGCTTCTGACGACGTCGATTCGAATGGCGACAACGTCGAAGCTCTCATCAAAAAACACGAAGATTTCGACAAAGCTATCAATGCTCACGAAGAAAAGATCGCGGCCCTCCAGAGGCTTGCCGACCAGGTATATTACACTACGTAACAAATATTAACTTTCCTTTTGTTTATTGTGTATTTTTGTTTTTTTTTGTATTATTCGTGTTCCAACTAGTCATCATCAGGTGTTTGCCAAAAAATATATTGAACATGAAAAATCTGACAGCAAAATACAAAAACCAAAGATTATACAATTCATTTTTTTTATTTGGACTCGTGTTTTTTTATTAAGTAGGTAGCTTATGCCAGTTTGTATTAGTATTTTTAGTATTTAAAATATGGTACTTCTGCTGAAGACCTTAATTAAATACTGTCAAATTGACAATAATATTTATTATTGATACTTTTTAATTATTATACAGTAGGGTGAGCCAAAAAAACTAACCTATCGGATTTATGGGTTAAAATGAACCTACATACTGAGCAAAAAATTTCCCTGCAAGGCAAAATTTTTTGCTCAATTTTAAAAGGTGTCGGTGAGCATTCTAAGTTTTCCATTGAAATACGAGTAAAAAAATCTTTTTTCATTAAAAAGACTATAACTTTTGAACCGTTTGAGATAAAAAATTTTACGTCGCGGATTCTTGTAGAGCATAAAATTTCCCAAAGAATCTATACCAGGGATTTAATTAAAAAATTCGTATGTTTAAAAGCTTTGAAAAGTGTAAAAAATCACTAAAACTGCTTTCAAACATACGAATTTTTTAATTAAAAAAAATAATCCTGGTATAGATTCTTTGGGAAATTTTATGCTCTACAAGAATCCGCGACGTAAAAATTTTTATCTCAAACGGTTCAAAAATTATAGTCTTTTTAATGAAATGAGATTTTTTTACGTGTTATTTCAATGGAAAACTTAGAATGCTCACCGACACCTTTTAAAATTGAGCAAAAAATTTTGCCTTGCAGGGAAATTTTTTGCTCTGTATGTAGGTTCATTTTAACCCATAAATCCGATAGGTTAGTTTTTTTGGCTCACCCTATTATACAGTTCATTTTTTTTATCTGGACTCGTGTTTTTTTGTTAGTTTGACACTGTCAAATTGACAATAATATTTATTATTGATATTTTACTTGTCAATTATAAATAAAAAGATAATTATAGTCACGGCCAAATCTATATGGGTGCACGTCATCAATGAGATATAATGACGTCAGCATTACCAACTTTGAATTGTAAAGTTACTGCCGTTAAATTTGCTTTTTTAAGGCGTAATTCTGATGTGTTATTAAAAAGAAATCATTCATTTGCGTATTGTTTACCAAAAACTGTAACAATTTCCTTGTTTTAAAACGTTTTTTCACGAAATTATCAAAATAAAACCCTTCACTTAGTAATTTTTGTGTGTGCCAGTTGGTAATAGCTTAAGGCTGGCGCGCACCGTTCAATATTATTGATGGGTCGCTGTCATTTTATATTTGAAGTATTTTTGTAATTGTGACATTTCGTCCGGAAGCATCGTTTGTTACAAATTATTATAAATAATATTATACATTATGTTTATAAGATTCTATCCCTGGATTGTGCAAACAATGATATAAGGCTTGTTGGCAACTAGCCGTTATTAGATTTCGAAGACATTGCGCCCTTAATAATAAATTTGGGGAAATAATCAGACTTCAATTCTGATCTGGTTTGCTCTGATGACAAGGACGACTGGTAATTTATTATTTTTGTGTTTCTGATAATTTAGTATTTTTTTGTTATGTGCATATGTAATAAAAATGTAATAAACTCCGTTTGTTTTCTCTTTAAACACATTTAATAAAAATTTGCCTGTAACAAACTCCTAATTAGTTAGTGCAGAAGATTATAACAAGGACGTTATAATTTCATCTTAATAACAGCCCCCACCGCTATAAACAGTCAACAATACACGAGCGTTAGATTGTGTCTGGGCACGTATGAATAGACCTTAAAGCTGACGTCATATGCCGTTGATGACGTGCACCCATACAGATTTGGCCGCGACTATATGCTAAAAATAATAGCAACGAATTCGAATGTAAAAGCCCTTTTGAGGGCAAAACTTCATTTTGATGAAATGATGCCAAATGCCACAATGGAAGAAAAAGTACATCGCCTTATGGACATTTTTGGAGTAAAAAAGTAACGAATTTGGTTTTATAAATATTACATCACACATTATTTTCACATTATTCACCATTGGACAACATTTACGTTCACAAAAAATTTTAATTTCTTTTCAAAAAACCGCTTGTGTGGGGTATTTGGTTTTCGCAAATTTGAATAAGTAATGACCATTATTGATTTCATCAGATATCACAAAGATTCTTTATGTGTAATTTTTACTGTCCGAAATTTTCACGATTTCACGATCTTTAATGAATCTTGAAAAGTCATCTTTCTAAAAAATTTTGGACTTTTTCGGTTGGTATCCCACATTTTCCTTTTTTATATACGCTAAAGAAGTATCGCTAATATCGCTACCACTCGGCTGTTATCATCGTAACAAAAGTACAACTTTTGATAAGCAGTTGTCAAACGACTGTGTTAGTTACAAACGAGTGTTTTTGAGAATAAAGCCGGAAAATGTTAAAAAACATCGAAAAAAAACCGTGGCACGATTTTTGGGTTGTTGGGTGTATTTCGAAAGGAAATCCTGGGTTGAGTTTTTATCGGTTTTCTAATAAACAATGTTAATCCGAATGAAGAAATCAATTTTATACTGTCCCTGTAAATATAAATTGTACCTATTAGATACAATAAATACACATTTTAGTAATGATTATTGTGAAAAGTGTAAACATTTAAATTCAGTAATAATCGTCAAACAAATAAGTTTTCTAAATTTAAGAATTTTTTAAAGTCTCCACTCAACGCTATTATGTTGCCATGAATTCGTAGGTATATTTTGTTGTTTAAAATGCAGTTGTCGGCGTTTTTTAGAGAACTCAAATATAAAAATGGTTGATTTTAGAGTTATGTTTGTGCAAAAATTATTTTGACTAATTTCTTAAAAATGTCCAAACTCAAATATAAATTATATTAGGTAAAGTTATCATTAGTTTATTATGCACCAACAAATGTACTTACTGAATGTGATCCTTTGGCAAAACATGAAAATGCAACGATTTAGTTCTTTAATTTTATTTAAAATTAAAAACACAATAATTTACCATGATCCCTTAGATAAAATACACACACTAACATAACTATATAAGCATTTAAGCGTTGAGTTTCTTAATCAATGATATAAAGAATAATCAATCGAAATCGAGTACTAAACCATTTTTTTGTTTTTTTTTTCCTTGAAACGTAAAACACAAATAACGTGCGCGATTTAGCTGTGCAATTTAACAAAATTTGTCGATTAAGACTTCTGCCTTCCTCTCTTTTGTGAAAAAACTACCTATTTATTTAAAAACGATGACAGTACGTATGCTTTAAATGTATTGTTGAAAATTTTTAAATTCACGCAATGGTTTTGAAGTCCACCAGATGGCGCGCGCGTTGCGAAAACCCGATACTTCTTTAGCGTATATGATGTTAATTTATAATATAGACTTAAATCCAAATTTGTATTATCTTTTGGGACACTTTTTAACATGGAGTACTTACTCCACAAAGTATTTGGCTGATATGATTTTCTTAAATCCGCAAAATAGGCCAGAAACACTTCTTCCTTTAAACTGTTTTTCCCTTTGTTGTTGCACCAGTTTTCAAAATGTTTAAATTGTTTCTGGTAATAATAACTTCTAATTTACAGTATTTGCTGCCTCCAGGATGTCATATGGTAGCTCTTCTTCCAAAATGTTCATTTTAATTTAGCGAATAATCTATAATATATTATGACTAACTAACTAAATTTGATTGTGTCTAAAATCTACATACTTACGTACATTACGTACATTAAAGGAAAAGTCCAACTTTGCGCTCGCAAATGGGTGCGGATAAGTGTTACTTTGCGCACGCTAGTAGAAAAATCAAATATCAAGTTACATAGTGTTATTGTTAAGGTAATTTGTGGTATAATAACACGGATATTCTTTACTCAGCTCATCGGAAACGAGCACTACGCGGCGAAAACGATCGACGAAAAACGCGATCAGGTGTTGGACAGATGGCGCCACCTGAAGGACGCCCTCATCGAAAAGCGTTCGAAACTGGGCGAGAGCCAAACGCTGCAGCAGTTCTCGCGCGACGCCGACGAGATCGAGAACTGGATCGCGGAGAAGCTGCAGCTGGCCACCGAGGAGAGCTACAAGGACCCGGCCAACATCCAGTCGAAGCACCAGAAGCACCAGGCCTTCGAGGCGGAGCTGGCCGCCAACGCGGACCGCATCTCGTCGGTGATCGGCAACGGGCAGAACCTGATCGACAAGCGCCAGTGCGCCGGCTCGGAGGAGGCCGTCAAGACGAGGCTGGAGTCGATTGCGGAGCAGTGGGAGTTCCTCACGCACAAGACCACCGAGAAATCCTTGAAGCTGAAGGAGGCCAACAAGCAGAGGACCTACATCGCCGCCGTCAAGGATCTGGACTTTTGGCTCGGAGAGGTCGAGAGTCTGCTGACCAGCGAGGATGCCGGCAAAGATTTGGCTTCCGTGCAGAACTTGATGAAGAAGCACCAGCTCGTCGAAGCCGACATCCAAGCTCACGAGGATAGAATTAAAGGTAAATCAATTACACACCCAGAGAAATAAACTTTTAATTCAACACTTTATGTGTCAAATTAAATGTTTTCTTTGCTAAAATGCATTCAATGTTTTTTTTACTTGAAATGAATATGTTGTTTGCTTAATTATATACACTTGCTTTAAGATTTAAATCAGTTTTATTTAAATATCTAAATCTTTTAATTTTCATTATTAAAAATGTTAAAATTCAACAAATAAAAATTTTAAACATAATCTTTTGTATTAAAATATTAAAACATTAAAATGAACAACCTAATATTACTCGCGCTGTTGCCAGTAAGTTAAATATTTCCGTGACGCCAGGGAATTTATTTAGAAATAAGTCTTTACTTTCTTAATATTTACTGTTTTTTATCTATGTTAATAATTTAAATGTTAAGGTAGACAATTATAATAATATACAATTTATTTTAAAAATTTTACCAATGCCTTGTTTTCCAAAAAAAAACTTGAGAAATTTATATGGGCAACATTGAAGTTAATTGGCTTAAAATTTAAACATTTTGTTACTTGGTTTAAAAATAAACCTTTGGTTACTACAATCTTTAACAAGCGTTTGTTCCAAGAATTAAAATGTTTTATTTAACAGTCCACAGTGTTATTTGAAGATTTTTGTCTATTATTTCAAAAAAGTAAGAAAAATTTTAATGAGAATATTAGAAATGTCAAAACAATTAATTTAAATATCTAATTTTAAGCAATTTAAAATGTTTATTTAAATATGTTTTTGTTTTTAAGTATTTAAATATTTAAAACAATTATTTTTATGTTGTTATTTGTAAATACTTAAATTAAGATTTTCTTTATCTGAGTGCAGGGCTCCCACACCTCCTAATCTCCTAAAACTCCTAAAAATTAAATATAAATAAGCCAACCTGACTGCATTTAATTAAGGTAGTTGTGCTAAAAAAAAATCTTGTTTAAGAAGTAATTTAAAAAATACAATTTAAATTTTTAGGTTCTAGTTTATTAAATTCTTTTTAAAATAATGTATCACAACCTACATTTTTCTTAAAAAAAAAAACAACAAAACATACCTAAAAACAAAATCCATGTAGTTGCTCCTAGACTTCTACAAAATTGCAATTTCATATTTCTTTTGTTTTTGACTAAAATATACCGTGTTATACAGGGTGACCTAATAAATTGTCATCATTTGGGGGGGATGATAGTACATGCCAAAATAAGAAAGTTTTTCCTCTATTATTTTTGAATAAGAAATACTGTTTTTAAATAAAAAAATTATGAAATTTTGCTGTATATCATCATTGTTTTTACCTCTAAAAACAATGATAATATTCATCCAAGCAAAAATAAACAGGTATGCGCACAGTGTATTATGTAATATCAAGCAAACTTTTAAACTTATTCAAAATCTGTTAGTAGGTAATTTGTTATCATTGATTACTGACAGTTCGATTGTTGTTGTGGTTTCTCTGGGGCTACATGAACAGTTTAGTGTACCAGAGCGAAGTTGACACATTAGAACAATTCCGCGTCAACTTTGTGTGGATATTAACGACGGAATAGTTGAATATTTATTATGATTTTGTGGAACAAACAAAAATGGCTACATGAGCATCAATCGAGATAAAAAGTGAAAGGTGAAATTTAAAATCGACGGGAAAACCACGGAAAGCTCGAGGTACCTAACAATAAAAAAGAAAGTATTGTTTTATTCAATGTATTTATGTACCTAAAAATAGCTGAGTATGCGAAACAAAAAAAAATTATCAACAAAGTAATCAATGAAAACACACATTTTTAATGAATGTAGATTATTGCCCACTGTACAAGCATATTTTGCGTCAGTTGTCATAGGTCAGGAACAACCAGTGGTGCCCCCAAATTTCTACTCTACTTGTAAAAATTGTAATGTACTATCATCCCCTTAAAAGATGACAACTTATGTACACCCTGTATACCCCCGAGATATACACAAAAGTATTAATTTTACCACACTTTTATTTTATTCAAAAAAACTCGTTGAGCGATTTGGATGAAAAATTAGTCAATGGAACTTAATTGTTATTTTTTAAGAACAGTGTAGTTATTTCTTTTTAATTACAGAAATTCATTTGCATGCTTTATTTCTCCTAAAATTCTCCTAAAAACCTCCTAAATTCCTTAATAAAATTGGTAATTTAGCCATGGGAGCCCTGAAATAATGTGGCCTCTAATTTTAGAAATCATTTTTTTTTTCATTTTGTGTAGATATGAACGATCAAGCCGATTCTCTGATTGAAAGTGGTCAATTTGATGTACCGTCGATTCAAGAGAAACGTTCCACAATCAACGAACGTTACGAGAGAATCAAGAACCTGGCAGCCCACAGACAAGCCCGTCTTAACGAGGCCAATACTCTTCATCAATTCTTCAGGGACATTGCCGACGAGGAATCCTGGATAAAGTAAGCAAATCAGATTTATAACCCTTAGTTACTCGTGTGGTTTCTAATTACACGTTTACTTTACTTTACTTTACCACAAAAAATTATCCAGTTTTAGCGAGTAATAATTATTAAACTAAAATATACTTTTTTGACTGATTACTTTACGGTATCAAATTTGCAGCGTTCGAATATTTATTAAATTTTTAACACCAAGCTTGTAATAACGCTCTTCTAAGGAATATATGTTCTTTGCAAATAAAGTTTTTAGGATAAGGAAATACATTTTTACGATAGAATTTAAATTAAAAAACTAAAACAATTATTTTGTTATTATAATAGAATTAATATTTTTTACAAGAAACGGTTTTTTAGGCTTTAAAACTCATTTTTGAAATAAAAAGTTAACACTGAAACGTAATTCGAACCTTATCGAACGCAAAAACAAGTTCAACAAAAAAAAAACAGAGCAAGTTGACAACCAAAATCAACGCCAAAACCAGAAATTTAACACATCAACCTTACCGATTCAAGAATAACTCAACGAGTGACGTCGTTCCCGCTAAATTAGCCTCGCCCTACATGCGCACCATCCTATCTTAAGGGGTTACATACATATGAGCTCGTAAAAATTAACGGTTTTTGGTGATTTATTTTTGGTATATAATAATAATTATATTGAAACGAACTATAAAGTATCGAATAGGGTATGTTTCAAAGTATTTGAATCCCCTATTATCAAAACCCCTTAAATCCGTTTTGATGAAAAATGAGAACCATGCATTAAAAAATTACTACCTATCAATTTGTGAATTCAAATGGTCGAAAAAGCCACGAAATGTATATATTCATTTTGTCTTTATAAATATTTGATGGCTTTTGCAACCATTTCTACTAGAAGCGTTGCCAGATGGTCAAAATGAAATTACCGTACCTGCTTGGTAAAAATTACCGTATTTAAGAAAAAATTACCGTACATTTGAAAAATTATTATTTAATATATAAAAGCAACAAAACAATTAAACAAAATTAAAAAATATTTTTCTTTGAAAACTTAAAATAAATAAAAATTAATTTAAATAAAAAAACATTTAACAAAACAACTCAAAAGTGCAGTTCATATATGAAAATATAGGAAAATTATGAATTTCGTCAAGAAACTCAATTTAATCCTACATTTGAACATCAAAAATCACAGGGCAAGCAAAAATTAAAATAAATACAAATTCAAATATAAAACATTTAATAAAACAACTCAAATATGCAGCTCATAATCCTAGATTTATGAGCTGAACTATAAAAAAAAATAAATAACAAAAATCACAAGGCAAATGAAACTTAAAATTAATAATTATTTGTTAACAGAAATCACAGGGCAAATGAAATTTCAAATGAATAATATTATTCGATAAAAAACTCATCATCATTATCTTCTGCAGCTGAACCCGAGTCTTTATTATATAAATTTGAAGACGTCATTCTAGATAGCATATCCTTGTTGGGTGCAAAACTTGTACAGTTTCCTTGTTGTTTAATACAGTCTTTAGCAAGTAGGCAACCGTTTATTGTTTGCGTGATCAATCTATTTCTAGATTTCGTTTTAATATTGTTTACACTACTAAATACCCTCTCACAACTAGCATTTGAATGTGGAAATGCTAAAATGTTTAAAACAAAAGAAGATAAATTTTTAAAGAGTTCTACGTTTGCATCATTTCTTATTTCATGTAGTTTTGTCCAAAATATGTCAATTTCATCTTGAATATTTATTTCATTTGAGTCAAAAACGTAATTGGGTAAAAACCTCCATTCGTCGTCAATCAGTTGTGCTATACCTGGATTGTAGAGTCTGGATAATATTTGCATTATAGGACTTAACGTGGGGAACTTATTTCGGGTTTCGTGGATAAAGCGTTTGCTGGTTTAAAAATATGCAATTGTGGAAGCAAATCGTTGTTAAAATCATATCGTTGTCGAATTTCTTTGCATAATGTGCTAAAAAAATCAGAGCAGCGATCATAAAAATGATTTAATAAATCAGGACGTTGTTGAATTTCAGGTTTATTTATAGAATTATAGATATCCACTCCAAAGTACATGGTGTGCTTTGGTAGATAATGTGATTTACTTTCTGGATCAACTAAAAAAAGCTCTGTCTCCATCACATACCGTCTTTGCATATAACACAAAAGAATTTCTTTATATAAATCACACATTGCACTGTGTAAATTTACAATTACAACTTTTTCTGATTGGAAATATTGGTTCATTTTAGTAACTTTTGGTAAAACAAATGTCAAAAATAAGTAATACAATTTTATAAATGGATCATTCAAACCATTGTGAATCTGTTCGGCCGCAAGAAGTCGTTCAGACAAAAATTTCTCATTAAAAAAAAGTTGCAGAGCTGTCCACTGTTCCAAAATTCTTGAGACCACTGCTGTAAGCAGAGTTGCCAACCTCTTCAAACATTTTATCGGTAGATTCTTTGGAAATTTTCGGTAGATAATGATAAAATTTCGTTAGATTTAAATATATGTGTAATTTTTAGTTAAAAAACACACGTAGTAGAAAATATTTATTAAAAATCTAATAAAAACAATACCATATTCAACTTATGTTAACATTAGTTAACATAAGTTGAATATTTATAAAAAGAAATACAAGGTGGGCCAAAAACAATCATCCTATTTGCTTTGGTTATATTTTTTTCCTGAAATAAAAAACATATGATTTCTTTTATAGTATTTTTATTTGAACCTTTAAGTTTTGTTCCCTTATATAAAAAAAATGATGTCCGTCAAATGGGCACCTCCAGAGTTAATACATAATTTAGCTCTTTTTATCGTATTCTTCATGACTTTCGCCAATATTTCTGGTGATATGTTGCCTATTTCCTGACGGATGTTGTTCTTTAAGGCTTCAATGATCTGTCGTTTAAATAATATTTACGTCTGGCAAGGCGTCGAAATCACGTCGAAATTCGCGTTGCGTTAAAATAAGTGATGAATTATTCTTCAAAAACATTGTTACAATTTTTCCACGTTCTTGAGAAGTATAGCGCTCCATTACTTATACTTGTAAATTTTACTTTTTTACTCAACAGAAACGTAAACGTCACGCTCACAGGAGACGCAATTTTAAAAATTTGTAGCCTCCTCCGATAGAGTGATAAATTTTGGCCCACCTTGTATAACAAAAAATAATAAAATTGTAAAAAATATTATTATTTTTTACAATTTTATTATGATTTAAATCAAGAGAACAAACGCCGCTTACTTTTCCACAAAGTTGAATGTTCTGTACTTTACCAATCAACATAGCAAAAATCAAGAATAGAAATCTGTTTAATGTAGGTATCATGGAAATTTGCGATACCGTCGTAGTGCGACTTCTGTACAAATGATGTTGGTAAAAACATTTTTAATATCACATACCTACTAGTGAAAAATATAGGTATAATACCGTTGTCTAAGTATAATATTTTTATGTAATTTAGTCTAAAAAGGGTTATTTATTTAGATTGTTGCAAGATTTAGATTTTAGGTAGATTATTGATGTCTATCGGTAGATCGGTAGAATTTTTTAGAATACGGTAGATCTACCGAAAATTCGGTAGGGTTGGCAACACTGGCTGTAAGTGATAACCACCTCGTTTGTGAAGGCTGTAATATTTTATGCACATCAACATCAACAAACTCCTGGAATTGCTTATAGTCATGTATCCGTTTGCTGCTTAACTGTAAAAATAAATGAGTTTTAATTAATTAATAACATTAATAAACAAAATACAATACCTTAAAAAAATTATAAATATTCCTTGCCAAATCCTCGCAAGTTCTCGGTAAATTTTTACAAGCTTGGCTACTGCACAAGTGCAAGGAATGGCAAATGCATTTCATAATTATAATTCCAGGACATGACTCTTTAAATCGCGATGATACAGAGTTATTTGCACCCATCATAACGTTGCATCCATCTGATGCAAATCCTATAATATTTTCCACTGGAATATTCTTGGATATAAAACTTTTTATAATTAAATCATAAATATGTTGAGCTGTCCCATTGGAATCAGTATCTTGATACAATGGCACCAGTTCCCATAAAGATGTTTTTATCCTTTTACATTTACTATCGTAGAATCTTACAACTATACATATTAATTTGTTAGTTGATATGTCCGTTGATTCATCAGTTAGGATACTGAATTTAGTATTTTTTAAACATTTGCAAAGGTCTTGTTTATAACTTTCACCTATAACATTTGTTATAATTGCCTTGGATTTTGTTCTCTTGGCAGACAACTTTTTTGCTATTGCGCTATCCGGAAAAACATTTGAGAGCAATGGAGATAAATGATCCATTGTCAAAAAAGATATGTTATGCTCTGCCAAAAAAGCACATATTTTAATTTCAGCTTCATTAACTGGGTCCAATGAACTGCTTGAAGAAGACTTAACAAATGTTTGTAAAAAATTAGCTGATGATGAGCTATTTTCTTTTAAATTTGTTAGTTTTATATGTTTTCCAGATTTTAAATGTTTTTTTATTGACGATAGTTCTGAAATAAATGTTTGGGCGCACAAAATGCATTGACCTTTATAATAATCATGTTTTACTGGCAAATTTAACCAAGCACTTCTGAATTTCTGAAATAGAATTTTATACATTTTATAAACCAATCACAAATTAATTTACTAGAACCGTTGAGTGAAAAATATATATATATATATATATATATATATATATAGATAAGTGGTCAGCTGTGACCTCCGTTAAGTTGAGAGGGCCACCTCTCCTCCGGGTCTGCGGAATGGACGATTTTTATTTTGATTGCATATATTGCGGGGGGGAGCCTTAAATATTAACGCCACCAGAAGAGGGGAAGCAATTTTTAATTTTTTAAAATGTCAATTTTTTTACGCAAACTGGAGATACTCAAGATACAAAGTCACCTCCGAATATATATATAATTTCGGAGAAACAAACAGCCTTGTATCCTCCGACAGTGTTGCCGG